TATTTCACATTCTGGTAAACCCCACAGATATATGACTAAATGCACAGATGAATACACCAACTGCCAAACATCCATATTGCTCTACTGTTCCACATACATATTGTGTTCCACTGACTGACTGACTGAGTTTGGTTTTACGCCGCTTTTAGCAATATTCCAGCAACATCACGGCAGGGGACACCAGAAATGGGCTTCGCACAATGTACCCATGTGGGGATTCGAACCCGGGTCTTCGGTGTGACGAGCCAACGCTTTAACCACTAGGCTACCCCATCGCCCCATATATTGTGTTCCAACCCTCTGTATTTCATTACTATTACTACCCATACAATTTCGCCTTCATTTGTTTATAAGACCAAAACAAAGCCTCAGCTGATTCAAGGATTTCCCATATGTAAGTCACAAAGATGCGTAACTGCAGTTCACTAACTAGGGCTGGGACGATACACTATGTCACGATACGATCCTGTATCACGATATTTTACCTGCGATACAATACATATCACAATACATACACCTTGAAAGAATGGAACAGTATTAATGATTTAAAATGATTTATGTAAAGGTATTTGTGTATAACAATACCACTATTGTAATAAACAAGCAAGTAACTCTATCATATTTGGGTATTTTTCTCTAAATAAGTACTTTAACATGTTTAAGATAAAACTGTTTTGAAAAAAGGGTTTGTGTATCGTTTTGTATCGATACACCAGTCGACGATACGATAGCTGTATCAAACTTAAATGTATCGCGATGTATCGATGCATCGGTGAATCGTCCCATTCCTATCACTAACTGCACTAACTTGACAAATGTAATTTAACGGGGTGCAAATGTTTCAAGTTGAAATATGACAAGGATGAAAAAAGAAATTGGTATATGAACAAATGAATATACAGACAAATATACAGATAAAATTGATTATTCAGGAAATCCAATGATTCTGGCCCAAAATCACAGAACAGTGAGTGAGTGAGTTAAAATTTTACATCGCATCGGCAATATTACAGCCATATAGCGATCACAGAACAGAATCTAATGATACTGAATAAATGTGAAAAATGCTGTTTCACTTTTGACTTTGAAAAAGGATGTGACTGCCTTTTAAGTGTTCTCTACTGCAATACTAGACTTCCAAAATTAAAAAAAAAGCACACATCAAACATTGCAATATTTAAAGACTGACTGACTCAGTTTAGTTTTACGCCGCTTTTAGCAATATTCCAGTAACATCACGGCGGGGGACACCAGAAACAATATTTAAAGAAACAGACTTTTTTAATCAAAAGTAAATAACGTTTACGTCATATATACATATATGAACGATCAAAATAGATACAACTGTGGAATTCATTTTCATAAATTAAGTTTCGCTGCACTTAACATTAGGAAACACGAAGATCTGATTTTCATGCAATTGCTTTTGAATTCAAAACAGAAAGAAAACATTTAATATGCTGTAACTGATTTCAGCAAACTAAACTAAACACAAACATTCATTGCAATTAACAATAGACAAACAATTCAAAATGATATGAATATCATAAAAAATATGACATGCAGATGCATATTTACATCCTGTGCTTACACAAAACATACACCTATCATCACTGATAAGTAAACAATTAAGAACAAAATCTGTACAAAATATCAGCAATACAACTATAACAACCGCAGTTAAAGAGGAAGTTATTTGGTCGTATCACTACTCTTTATCATTGTGTGTGGAATATATCCAAATTGATACCGGTTTTCCATTTTTGCAAGACTCATGAGTATGGATATGGTGCTAACCAAATAAGGATCATAATCTGAGAAATCTGGGATTACATCTCATATCAGTAGATCCTGGCAACCAAATATATGTCCACCAATAAACCACTTGGCATACTACCCATCATGATAGTAATTAGAAATTACTATCATGATCATATTCTGTATGAAGCAGCTGGTTCCAATAATCACCACTGACCAAACTTTTTGTCCAATGAGTGAGTAATCTTAAACAGCCCTGTATAGATTCATATTACAGCCCATATTGCCTAATATCACAGATATTGAAAAACCAGCAGTGTTGAAGGGGTATATAACAAACTCATAACTATTAAAAAATGTTTCAGTTTCATTGAAGTTTGTTCACTATCGCTCTATCTCTGGAAACAAATATATAGTATTGTTGGGGTTTCATAAGGAATTCCTGTGTCCATTTTTAAAGCACCTATAGTGAAGCCAGGACAGCACGTGGTGTTATCATTGGGTTTTTTGTTTCAAAGAGCTAAGTTGTTTAACATGCACTGATATGACCTCAAGCTTTGCATAACTGGGATATGTTAGCCCATGTGCCACGAGTTGTCTTATGTCGGTATCAGCAATAGTCAAGCAATTTCTAAGCATGGACTTCACACATTAGACACATGTCAGAGGTGGAAATAACCCATTGCCCGACGTCTGAGTCGTTTTTTTTCTGTTGGGCAAGCAAATTTGTATATCACACTGTACCGGTGTCCAGTTGACTTTCCAACGTTAATTATGTTGTTTATTTAAAAAATCAACAAGAAAACGGCCGGTATAGTGGAAAACTTATCAGGGCAAGTGATTTTAAATGTGCCACTGTACCGGAGTACACTAGCAATTTTAAAGTTATTTCCACTCCTACATGTACTCGCATCCTCTTGTATCTGATTCCTGACCCATCATTTTCACTATCACTCGACATTTTGCGTTTTATGCTGTTTTTAAGCAACATTTCAGTACTATCAAGGCACTGGAAACCACAAACAGGGTTTAAGCATAAACAAACCATCGTACAAGTTTAACAAACCATAAACTTAGATTGGACCAGACTACCCAGCTGAAAATGGGCACAAACTAAACAAATAATCTTGTGGTATGTATTGATATTGATAAATATGATTAATTAGCATCCGTTCTAATTCTGTCTCGCAACAAAATATGACTGAATGTTTGGACATGAACTTGATGACTTCTGAGTGCTAGCACTATCACAAACAATACATAACCCTGCAATATGTTGTTGTTATGTTCGGAGAATCATTCATGACCTGTTATATATGAAAGGCGGATAAACGTTAGCGATAGTGGAGCGCGAGTTCTGCGGCCTGCCTCGCGAAAACGTGCTTACTTCTGCCGCATGTCGTGACGATTGTCGCAAAATAGTTTACAATTTAAAATATTCTAGTGAAAGATGGATCGATTCGTAGCCAAATATTAGTAACTATAAAAGATATGAGGAATATTACGAAAACAATACGGGAATTAATTATTTGTAAGTTGCAAAATCACGGAATTTGCCGAAGATAGGCGAAGTTAACGAGCTATTTTTTGAAACTTGAAACTCTCTTCACATATAGTAAGAATCTGAGAGGCTTTCTTCTGAGGCAAATTCATCTTCTTTATCCCAGTTCACAAGAGTTCCGCCTGGGTATCAGAACTTTAATATTTCAGTCACTGGTTTCAAACAGACATGTAATGAGTGATACAGGTTCATGACTGCCTTTGAAACCAGGAATATGGGTTTAATTTGAATGTGAGGCTCATCAAAATCACAGCTTAGTATTACTACTGCTTATTAAGTGCTTAACAAAGATTCAAGGACGCATCCATTCACTTCAGAATGTTGCTTGCAAGATAAGATCAGGAAAGTGACAGCTGGAATGGGTTTTCTATTCATGCAACCATGAAAAGTTTAAGACACAACTGAACTTTACAGACTTTTTTTACTGAGTTTTCAGATTTTGAATTAAGAACCTTTTCTAATATTTTTAAAATATAGTCTGGAATGAAAGTTGCCAGTTCAAAACTAACTTGAAAGATTTTTTCCGAGTGACTTACACTGACAAAATTCACAAAAGGCGCATTCTGATGTGACCTATAACTGGACATCCTCAGATCTTTGTATAATGTAGGGAGCACTAAGATTTGAATTTAATGAGATTGGTTTGAACTTCTTACAGAACAAATAGTTCATGAACAATAATCACATATATTCTCAAGCTACTCATGATTTTCACGCATTCATATGCATTAATACATCATAACACCCTCTTAACCTAACCCCCTATAGCATCCGCACAGCTTACATGACATGACTGTTGTATATTACAATCGACGGTAATAAATAGCAACTGTAAACACATATATACATGTAATATCATGGTTATACACCCTCTGTACAAACTGCCTGTCCCAGAGGCCCCATCTGTTTGTGTACATCTGTACACCATACTGTCCATATCACATCAGGGCATGAATGTGTAATACCACGTTCAAACGTTCTAACATTTGGGATACGGACCTTCTTCCACATGCCAGACAGCACTAACCCCTTGGACATCCATGCAATGATCTGTTGATTCAACCATTAAAAACAGACCATTCAGTGAAAAAGCCTTGGCTTAACTTCAAAACACAAAGTTCATCACATGATGAAGTCATGACTCCAAATCCAAAAACTACTGACTGACTGAGTTTGGTTTTACGCCGCTTTTAGCAATATTCCAGCAACATCACGGCGGGGGACACCAGAAATGGGCTTCACACATTGTGCCCATGTGGGGATTCGAACCTGGGTCTTCGGCGTGACGAGCCAACGCTTTAACCATTAGGCTACCCCACAGCCCCAAATCCAAAAACTAAGAACATGGCAATATTAAATACACATTCGTATCCTACATGGTTGGTTTGGTAGTCACAAAAAGAAGAAGAATATATCCCCCAAACACTGGCATAGTGGCACCAATTCTTCAACGGCTCGATGACAACTGCAGCCAACTCGTGCATGATGTGGCAGTTATGAATTATTTACACCCATTCAAAACATAATTCATGACAACAATGTGATCACAATTACCAATCACTTGAAACATTGCGACAATGCTCAAAACTCATTTCTGCAAGGCCTCAATATGTTGTCAGGGAAATGTTCCCATGAGGAAACAAAGTTAAATTAACCATCACATTTTCAACATATACATACAGTTTTCTATAGTTGGTACCATGCCGGCTGTTTTTTAAGCAAAGGACTTCAAAAAGCAAAATATTCTGTACAAAAGAAACAAAAACAAAAATCCAATCAGAAACATTCGCTGTATGGTACAAACAAATTTAAAGTTTCTGATTTTTCATATGTATTGCAAAGAAAATCTTGTCAGCTTCTCTTGGTTTTTCATAAGTTTGCAAGAAGAACCAATGACATGTACCCCAAAAACCTGCATCAATGGCCTCAAAACAGGTGCCTGTGCAAGATGTACCAATGCCCTTAAATCAGGTGCTCTTGAAAGATGAACAAATGGCCTAAAAACAGGTACCCTTGCAAGATGGACCAATTGACTCAAAGTAGGTGCCCTCACTGCAATCCCAAGACATACTAACAACAAAGGATGTATAAACATGTTTAACTAAATATCAAACACTGAATTTAAACAGCCCCCATATCTTGTGAAGCATCCAGTCGACATCCGGAACAACTCCTCCTTCACCACTTCTTGTTTTGATCCAAATCTGACACAGAAGTGATGGAAATGTTTCTGTCTTTGCTCATCAAGACTGCTTCGTGTTTTTGAAACACAAATAATTCTATAATTACAACTGAAGTAATCAAGATGAAAGCTTTGCAGGGTTGTATTCCAACATATGTTGAGGTACTTTTGAGAGAGAGAAGAAATCTATACCATCCATCTTCTTTCACTTTTCTCTCACTTTCTACAAATGTGAAACCAAGAAGTCATTTAGGTTGTGGTCATAGCAACCTTGCATATGCAAGGATTATGGAATAGATTTTATCAAATGGAATCAAGCCAAGATTAAGCTCCCGTGTGTAGGTTTTGTTTTTGAATGTAGACCTCTCCACTATGTTCACACCTGGTCCGCATGTTAAAAGAACTTGTTGCAGGATAATTTGAAACCACTCTTCTTCCTGATTGATGTGAACACCCTACTCTCTTCATTAACTACTTCCTCTTCCACAAGATGCCACCTATGCTTTGTTTGGAATCTGAGGAAGAACAAAAACATAATTATTTGATGACCATTCCTAAACACACCATCAGAAAAGACATAATATCACAGGCTCATAGTTTGCAATTACATATGCTTGATTGCAGTTAATTTCACAAGAATACATGACGACAGCTCTGTTAAAGGACATATCACACAATGACAGCTCTGTTAAAGGACATATCACACAATGACAGCTCTGTTAAAGGACATATCACACAATGACAGCTCTGTTAAAGGACATATCACACAATGACAGCTCTGTTAAAGGACATATCACACAATGACAGCTCTGTTAAAGGACATATCACACAATGACAGGGCTGTTAAAGGACATATCACACAATGACAGGGCTGTTAAAGGACATATCACACAATGACAGCTCTGTTAAAGGACATATCACACAATGACAGCTCTGTTAAAGGACATATCACACAATGACAGCTCTGTTAAAGGACATATCACACAATGACAGCTCTGTTAAAGGACATATCACACAATGGCAGCTCTGTTAAAAAGGACATATCACACAATGGCAGCTCTGTTAAAGGACATATCACACAATGACAGCTCTGTTAAAGGACATATCACACAATGACAGCTCTGTTAAAGGACATATCACACAATGACAGCTCTGTTAAAGGACATATCACACAATGACAGCTCTGTTAAAGGACATATCACACAATGACAGCTCTGTTAAAGGACATATCACACAATGACAGGGCTGTTAAAGGACATATCACACAATGACAGCTCTGTTAAAGGACATATCACACAATGACAGCTCTGTTAAAGGACATATCACACAATGACAGCTCTGTTAAAGGATTAGGACATATCACAGCTCTGTTAAAGGACAATGACAATGATTGGCTGTTAAAGGACATATCAAATGACAGGGCTGTTAAAGGACATATCACACAATGACAGGGCTGTTAAAGGACATATACAATGACAGCTCTGTTAACAATGACACAATGACAGTTAAAGGACAGCCTGTTATCACACAATGACAGCTCTTAAAGGACATATCACACAATGACAGCTGTTAAAGGACATATCACACAATGACAGGGCTGTTAAAGGACATAACACAATGACAGCTCTGTTAAAGGACATATCACACAATGACAGCTCCCTGTTAAAGGACATATCACACAATGACAGCTCTGTTAAAGGACATATCACACAATGGACAGCTCTGTTAAAGGACATATCACACAATGACAGCTCTGTTAAAAGGACATATCACACAATGACAGCTCTGTTAAAGGACATATCACACAATGACAGGGCTGTTAAAGGACACAATGACAGGGTAGCCTGTTAAAGGACATCATCAACACAAGCCTGTTGACAGCTCTGTTAAAGGACATATCACACAATGACAGCTCTGTTAAAGGACATATCACACAATGACAGCTCTGTTAAAGGACATCATCACACAATGACAGGCTGTTAAAGGACATATCACACAATGACAGCTCTGTTAAAGGACATATCACAATGACAGGGCTGTTAAATGACAGCTGTTAAAGGACATATCACAATGACAGCTCTGTTAAAGGACATATCACACAATGACAGCTCTGTTAAAGGACATATCACACAATGACAGCTCTGTTAAAGGACATATCACACAATGACAGCTCTGTTAAAGGACATATCACACACAATGACAGCTCTGTTAAAGGACATATCACAGCTCTGTTAAATGAACAGGGCTGTTAAAGGACATATCACACAATGACAGCTCTGTTAAAGGACATATCATCACACAATGACAGCTCTGTTAAAGGACATATCACACAATGACAGGGCTGTTAAAGGACATATCACACAATGACAGCTCTGTTAAAGGACATATCACGCAATGACAGCTCTGTTAAAGGACATATCACACAATGACAGCTGTTAAAGGACATATCACGCAATGACAGCTCTGTTAAAGGACAAATCACACAATGACAGCTCTGTTAAAGGACATATACAATGACAGCTCTGTTAAAGGACATATGACACAATGACAGCTGTTAAAGGACATATCACACAATGACAGCTCTGTTAAAGGACATATCACACAATGACAGCTCTGTTAAAGGACATATCACACAATGACAGGGCTGTTAAAGGACATATCACACAATGACAGCTCTGTTAAAGGACATATCACACAATGACAGGGCTGTTAAAGGACATATCACACAATGACAGCTCTGTTAAAGGACATATCACACAATGACAGGGCTGTTAAAGGACATATCACACAATGACAGCTCTGTTAAAGGACATATCACACAATGACAGGGCTGTTAAAGGACATATCACACAATGACAGGGTTGTTAAAGGACATATCACACAATCACACAATGAAAGGGGCTGTTAAAGGACATATCACACAATGACAGGGCTGTTAAAGGACATATCACACAATGACAGGGTTGTTAAAGGACATATCACACAATGACAGGGCTGTTAAAGGACATATCACACAATGACAGCTCTGTTAAAGGACATATCACACAATGACAGCTCTGTTAAAGGACATATCACACAATGACAGGGCTGTTTAAGGGTATAAAGGGAGTGAGAGTATGGTTTCACTCTGCTTTAAGCAACACTCCAGCAAGATCAAGGCAGGGGACGCAAAAATGGGCTCCAGATGTTCTACCAGTTTGAGGAGCCGACCTATGTCTTCATTCTGAAGAGGGAATACATCAACCACTCATGTATCCTACTGCTCCTTGATAAGGAGTGAATAAATTCTTTGTTTATCACTGCAGTTTGCAATATCTCAGCTATATTGCAGTGGTCTGTAAGCATTCCAAGTCAAAGCCAGGCAACAATCCTTTGATGTGGCTTGCGCTTGTAATGAGCCAACTCACAAACCACCCAATTCTCACATTAGTCTCTTATACCAAACACTGGAACCAACATGATAAAGATAGGACTCAACATCATCTTTCTTTTGTGACAAAGCTATTTAGTTGTTATTTGGTAACAGACAAAACCTAAAGATCTGAAGCTTACCTGCCTTAAGAAGATATAAATGTTACCATGTCTAACATTGGATCAGAAGTTAATGAGCACTTTTAGAGACACCATAACTGGGGGAACATTTATACAAACGTTCAGCTTAATAAGCCTTGTAGCTATCAAATATGTAAAAGATAACCATATGTCGACAACAGATGACACATGCCAGAACATAGCTCAACTGACATAAACACATGTCAGCTCAACAATTTTCGAATTGTTAGGATTTGCAAATGACTTGATTTTTTTTAGAAATGCACTTATATTCTGGTCTCATTGTATTAGTAAACAAATCCAAGCATACCTTTTCAACATGAATCTGTTGAACGATCTTGGTCTTGGGTGGCCTCCCTTTGATGATGGCGTAGCAGAACAGTGTGATAACCATCACAAACAGGAAGTAACTTGTGTGCATCAAGTGGAGGTTGATGACAGATCGGTCATGCTGATGAACAAGGAAGACAACAGATTTAGACATAGTGTTCCCCCTAGGCACATTTAGGAGGGCGCTGCGCCCTGCCCTTTGATTTTTGCACCCTGCCCTTTTCGCCTCAATCCCACTTTTTATTCCAGCTGTGATTGATTTCACAACAACCTGTGTGTATTTTCCGGATTTTATTAAGGACGGAGTTCTCTCCCTTTCAAGGGGAGACGCAAAATTGTTTTGATAATGATTAGGAAATTGGCATTTAAACCATGGCGAAGTCAAATGTGTTTAGTTCGCTTTACAAATCACAATGCCTACCAAGAAAGAATCAAAAGGAAAAGAGAAGAAGCAGTGAAGGTTGAAGAAAGGAAGAGTCGCCAACTAGTAGATTTCTTCGCTCCTAACACTAACAGGTATGTGCCTCTAAGTTCGTGATTTTTAGGCCGTTGATTTCCCTTTCCATTTCACGCCTTTCAAATTAAACCTTCATTTATTAAAGACAACGATGTGTGAACTACATGTGATGTATTTCGGTACGTTTGGGGGACCGACATTCATGTGACTGTGCTGTTTAGGTGAAAATCTGAAACTCGAAAATGTCCGCCATTTTGAATCCATCGGCAATTTGAAATTGATCTTGAATTATTTTGTTGTTTGTCCTGGGAAATGAAATAGTTAATACAGCTTGCATAACAGCTTCACATGGTAGCCTTGTTTTTAGTGTTTAGTGTCGATTTCATAAAAAAAGTAAGTCTTGAAGGAGTAAAACTATTTTACGATTTCAAACAATGGGAAGCCACACCCTTATCGAAGCTCTCCACAGTAGATACTTACGTTCAGGTGTATTATTGTGTGATATTTTTGTTTTAATAATTATGATTGCAAATTTAATATGTAAGAATATTTTGAATATGGTATATTAACTTTGTATATATCTTTTTTCAGACCAGACTTAGACGAGTCAGAGGTAGTTTCCTATGAAAACTCAAGGGCACGAGACAGTCAGTTAATCCAACAAAGAAGAAAGATGGTGGTCACAAGACTGCATTTGACACAAAGTGGCAACAAAACTGTCCCTGGTCGAGGTACTCAGAAGATGACAAAAAGAAGGGAATGATGTTTTGTTCATTATGTTCTAAGTGGAACACTAAGGGCAGAAATGGACTTACTGTCAACCAAACACAGATTGAGTGGAGTCAAGTAAAGGAGCTTGACACCAGTTCACCCTCCACCATTTTGAAGACTCAAGCCTCAACTTTGAAACTTGAATCCAAACATTGTTCAATTACTGTCCATTCATGCAACTGTGATTGTCCACTTCTGAAGTTGAATGAGTGTTCTCAAAAGTGAAACTGATTGTGACAGATCATAGAAACAGACTCAGTGTTCAAACTTGCAACAGACTTCTCATGATTAGCCTGAATGCATCGTCAGTTTCAGACATTGACTTGAAGAAGGTTGTGAACAGATACTTGGCAAGAAAGAAAAGAAGACTGTAAATTGTTGTTTGCGTGTTTTGTGAAATTGTAAACAAATGTGACAACAGATTAATGTCTTGAAATGCTTTTTTTCAAATTTTGATCTTAAAATACAAAATGAGAAGAGTAATAAATGAACTTTAGAAATAAAATTATAAGAGCATTTGACTTCATATACATTTTGTTATTGTTATTTTTTCAATAATCCTCACCAAAGTGCCCTTTTAGATTATGAAGTGCCCTTTTTTTTAAGTTACCCTGCCCTTTCTGAATCCTAGGGGGAACACTAAGACAAGAATCTCAGATGAATAACATTAGATCAACAGTCAAAGGTTTACGCAAAATGTGCCTTAATTATATGACATAGCCCTGGATAGATGTCAGTTCGGTGGAATAACAGTGAAGTGAGTGTTACCACTGAAACAAGAACTCCATGTAGTTCCAAATCGAAATGTGTGTGTGTAGGTGCGTGCCTGTTTGTTTGTGTGGGCATGTGCATGTTCGCCCCAAATGTGCTTTAACTACATGACTGACTGACTGACTGAGTTTGGTTTTACACTACTTTTAGAAGTATTCCAGTAACATCACGGCGGGGGACACCAGAAATGGGCTTTACGCAATGTACCCATATGGGGATTTGAACCCGGGGTCTTCAGAGTGACGAGCCAACGCTTTAACCACTAGGCTACCCCACCACCCCTTTAACTATATGAACTAGCCCTGGATAGATGTCATTTCAGTGGAATAACAGTGACGTGAGGATAACCACTGAAACAAGTCACAGTGATGATTTACTAGCCTATCAATGTTCACCTACCAATGACAACATTACGGTGAGGCTGGGGTCCAGCTTGTAGCGGACATGCAGCACTGGCTGACTGTTGCACCACAACACCTTGGGGTGCCTGCGAGTTCCCTTCAGACCAACCATCTTCACATGGTACTCAATCCCAGACTCCGAGTTGCCATGGCACATGTCAGGCTTCCTGCAAATAAAACATACATTAAAGTTCGAATGAATAAATGCAACTCTCGTCCCCCATACCAGCTGAACATTAATTCAAGCAAATCCCATAGAGTTATGTCCCTTGTCCCTTTATGAACATCCTACGCACAACTTGTGACTGAAACCAGTTCGACTATCACTGACAACACCGTGTGCGACAGTTTTCGATGTATGGAGCAGTTGTTTATGTTCCATATATGGCAAGTGTTCTCTGAAAGCTGTTCACCTCAAAGTTTCAATTATCGATTTCAGGTTGTAAGGGATAATTAGTCTTTTATTGCATCAATAGGAAGCTGAAATGAGTGCATATTCTCCAATATATATAACATAAGCCAAAATATTTTTGGACATATGTGACTTTGTGCCTTTAAGCTGATGGGAACAGAAGATGTTGGAGTCCTTTTCTGGGTAAACAAAAGCATCTCAATCACACATGATGTACATCAGTTATATCAAATCTGTCACTTGATCCCGAATCAAAAGTGGTGCAGATATTAGATATTTAACACATTGGTGAAATCCATGTGTACTGTAAACATCAAGGTTAACAAAGAAACATTATAATCAGGTTTGGGGTTTGAACCCAGGAGCATACTCTCCTGAAATATCAAAGGGGCACAACTCTGTATATCATTAAATGTGTGGTAGAGCATGTAGGACAGAAGCAGCTAGTATATTATTAAGAATCACCTGGGTTATTTATTCTGAATGAACAACCTTTCCGTTTAAGCAATATCCCATTGACAACTGAGCGGAGGCCATCACATTGTGGGCAATTCAACCATGGTCTCTGTTAGGGATGTCACGATATACATAAGTTTCATGAATCGATACATATCACGATACCCATGTCACGATTCAATACGCTTCACGATACCTATTTTTGCAGCATTACTGCGTACATTTAGTTACATTTTGAACATTAATATTTCATATTTAATAATTGTCCATGAAAAGATCAACATTTTTTATTCTCAGAGTTTAAAAAGTTCTAATTTCCCATCTTTGTGCATGGAAAATAATCATTCTCACAACATCAAAAACATGATACAATTGCAAAATGTAAACGATACATAAACATATCTAAACCGATACTGTTAAAACTTATATCGATACAGTTTTGAATGTATCGATAATTGCATTGTGTTTGAAAAAGTATCGATGCATCGATGTATCATGGCATCCCTAGTCTCTGTTGTGCTGAGTGGACACTTTCACCAATAAGCTATATGTAGTGGAACAATATGGTGATACGGTATTGTATCTCTAAACACGGCCCACTGCACATCGATTTACATGTATAACTGTACTGTGACACACACAAAACATTACAATTAAGTTATACTGACATAAAACAGGTGAAACCCCCAGACATATTGAGGACTAACTTTGTGTGGGGGAAGAATGACACTGGTGCCTGGAAGCTGATGCAGGTGTAGATGTTGACCGGCTCACAGATCCCTCGCCGGTTGCACCGTGACGTGTTCCACTGGAACGGCAACACGAAGGTCACATTCATCTCAAGGTCGGCTGCTTCACCTGAAACAAACCAGCCACAAAATCACATCAAATAATATATGATGGTAAATGAGAGAAACAAGACACAGAAAGCAGAGGTTTTTATTAAAATCGACAGACATTATTTTTCAACAGAGAGCTGTATAATGCAGGAGTGGTGAAAAGTTGTTCATTCATTCGTTCGTTCCAGTGTTTGCCCTTAACCCTGAAAAGCTGCAGGCCCCAAGGACCCAGAGCTATAAAATGTTGTTTAGTTTTACGCCGCTTTTAGCAATATTCCAGCAACATCACGGCAGGGACACCAGTAATGGGCTTCACACATTGTGCCCATGTGGGGATTCCAACCTGGGTCTTCGGGTGTGACGAGCCAACGCTGTAACCATTAGGCTACCCCACCACCCCGGGTCCTGATGAGAATGTGTAGGCCTTATATTGTAGCTACAATATAAGTAATTCCAAACAAACAAGGCCATAAGGAAACAAATCAGTGGGTCCGAGTGGTTTTCAGTTGGCTTTGGGCCTAAGGACTGACGTTAATTTCGAATGCTGGTTCATTCGTTTGTTTCTGAGTGAGTGTCATGCTGACACTTATCTGGTGGCCTCTTACAACCAGTATAGGCTGCTCACTCCCCATGGGTTTACACACAAGGATGCACCTACCATACAGACCGAGCTGGTCCCCCATCAGTGTTGTGGACAGGTATGTCACATTGTGGGGGATGTTGACAAAGTCCTGGGTAGGCTGCATCTCCACCATCATCGACAGTGATACGTTGCTGTGGAATAGACACACAATAGTCTCAATGCCTAGTGGCTCACAGGGAGATGGAGTCATCATTACCTATTATAAGCTTCATCTTTATTATTATATCATAATAATAATCTTCAGAACTGAACTTCAGAGGTTCAAATCCAAAATACTTGAATATCAATTCTGACCCCATGTTTTCAGTGGCTGTCTTCATTTACATTATGAGTTATAAGCTTCATCTTTATTATTATATCATAACTCCCAATGTAAATGAAGACAGCCACTGAAAACATGGGGTCAAAATTGATATTCAAGTATTTTGGATTTGAACCTCTGAAGTTCAGTTTTTTTCATAGTCAACAAAAAGCATGTTATCAAGCAAGTATCAGTTTCAAACTTTCATCTGTATAATATTACATGGTACCCTCCATTGCAATATAAATGATTAAACAATGATTAGCTGAAATCATTACCAAGTATGTATACGGCCAAGAGACAACTAGAACTGCCATCTGTAGGTTCATTACCATTATGACAAAAGCCACATTAATTAGCCATATTACAGTTAGAGCTTTCCCTTAGCTAAATAGGTCTTCAAGCTAGACATTCTAATTTTGCCATATGGGAGCAGGTATTGTTAGATTCATGATCTCAATTTGCAAATATTGAACACATTCAATCTATATAGATGTACATCATGATCATAGATATTTAATTTTAAAAAAAGAGTTATCTCCCCTTTCCATCCGAACAACACCACATGGATGCCTATTATGTAACCAATGAGTCAAGTTTCCTCAATGAGATGGCTGACTACATGATGTCCATTTCAACAATACATACACAACACCATCTGGTGGTAACGTAGCAGTCGTTGTGACTTCATGCTGGCCATCCATCGTGTTACGGTTGTGTCTTGTGGTGCCAGCTGTGGTAGCGTCTGATGCATAATCACTGGAGTTGCTCAACACACAAAAATCCACATCAGCAAAACTCTCCAGGAAGGTATTCCAATCCTGAAATAAAGGCAAAGTGTCTTAACGATGATATTCCAAGTGACAAAAGGGAGTGAGGTTTTTTTAGCAATATTCCATCACCGAATGGCTTCATACATTGTACCCATGTGAGGAATCGAACCCAGGTCTTCAGCATAATCAGTAAACGCTATAACCCCTAGGCTACCCCACTGCCCCCAAGTGACAAATGGCTAGCTTTATTTTGAATAAATTACACTTCCTTTATTTATGCATGGTACGTAATTTGGAGGTCCTTTAATTTCTGCCATTTTTCTAAGAGACCTCTTCACACAGATCAATACCTGAGATATAAAGTTAAAGGACTGAATGTGTTTGGTAGGGGTAACACTCAGTTGGTGTTTATTGATGCTTATCACTGAACTCAGTAATATTCCAGCTACATGCCAGCAGCCTGTAAATAATTGATCATTTACCAAGGAGTCTAGTGATTGATACAAAGAGGAAAGAGGATACAATGATCTCCATTCAACCAAATCACCAAGCCTGACCACCCAATTCAATAGGTTGCCTCGTATAACCAGCACAGGTTGCTGGGGGTCTGTTCTTACAAGGAATCCCACAGGGTGTTGGGGTAAGAGGAGTATTACCTTCAGTTGCCATGGTAACATAAGATATAACATCTATCCTTGAGGGATCCATAAATCTAAAATTTGTCACATCAAAATGACGAAGAATTCCTTGACTTCCATTGGTAATTTAGAAGGCTGGGTCCCAATGCACAAACCATTCATAGCACTATGACATTCGTAAGCCTATGACAAACTACAGAGTTACAACATGTCGTAACATTACGAACACTTTGTGGATAGGGACCCTGAATTTCAAACAGTATCTTTACAGTTATCATGACAGAATGGAAACACAATTAACTGGATAAATTGCAGGTGTCATAACACTTACAACAAACACTCAACGTGTGCTCTTGCAAGATATTTTCACCCTCTCTGAAAATGACCATATGTTTATAACAGGTGTGCCAGATCAAGCTGAAGGGCCCAGCTTTCAGCAACAAGTACAAACACAAGAGTTTTCTCATCAATACTCACCTCTGGAATATCTGGATTGGGCATGTCTCTCATTTTGACAACATAGGCAAATGTGACAAGGGCGATGGCGAACGTAGCTAGACATATCATGAAGATGACCAGTGGAGGACGACTGTAGGCAAATCCACGGAGGTTTTCACACACTGAGTACGCCATTACGACCTGATAGGATTCACTAGACTACTGAAATAAAAAAAACCCTTATGAGTGAGGTGTCATCTGGTCATTCTTGGTCCGACGTTCTAGAGTGTGTTGATCACTGGACTGTCTGGTACAGACTCGATTATTTACAGACCGCCGCCATATAGCTGGAATATTGCTGAGTGCGGCATAAAACTAAACTCACTCACTCACTCACTCACTCACTCTTGGGGGCCAAGGGATGCCTAATAATTGATTTAAGAAATATGATAGATCATCTAGATTGTTAGCGTAAACTATACTTACTTTGATACATTTTTTATATATACTGGAGAAGTCACTTTGATCAAACATACGTAAAGCTTTTTAAAAAATGTCGCTTATTTCAAACCGCTGGTGAGTGGTGCCACGTTAATGCATGGATTATTGTGTGGAATTTACAAAATTAACAAAAACAGCTGCTTTCAGTTTTTGGTTATAGAAAATAACTAGTCTGATTTGGTATATCAAAACTTTACTCAGTCAGAATAGTATATATATGATGTTAGCAATAACACAATTTTCATATTGATAATCTTTAATATTTCTTCTCACTGATGATAATTATGATCATCAGTCTTTTTGGCCAACCATATATTCAATACACTTTGATTGACAATCAGAAAATCTCCCAGAAAGAAATGAATTAGAGTTCATATCATTGACTGGAATGAATCAGATCTCCACAACTGACCAATTGTCCAAAGATGGTATTTTGGTAAGGATGTTGCCTAGTTTCAGTTTTGATTCGTTAACAATATAAGTTGTATGCTTTTCTTGAGGGTAATACGGTCTGATGTACACCTCTTTGTAGCAGTGTTACCCGAGCCGGTAATATAATCCTAATATGTTTTCCAGTTGACACCCTCCTGGGGTTAAAGCGTTATTGACCAATGAAATTCAAGTATTTTACATGAAGGTAAGATAATGTAGATTGTGGAGCCAATTATGTCAAACAAGTATCCATGACATGATCAGGCTCTTTGATGCCTAGCCAATGCAACAATAAATGGAAAGATTTCCACCCGTATCATTCTATGCCAAAGAAAAAATGGTTTTCATAGAAAGCCTACCCTAAGGCCTTAACCCTAACCCTAACTTTAAAACTTACATAATGCAAAATCTAAACCCTAAACTGGGATTGGGAAAGAGCACTTTAACAATGGGCCATTTTCAGGATTATTAGCCATTTTCTGAATTTAGAATGGACCAAAACCCTTGTATCAATAGTAAACTTAAAAATTTTAATGGGCCATTTTTTATTCTAATGAGCAAAATGGCCCATGGACCCCTGCCTTTCCCAATCCCTGCCTAAACCTAAACCCGAAGCCCTATAAACATGACAAATAATCATAATAAATAGAATACATTTCAAGCGGGGTTACTGGCGGAACTCTTACCCAATAATATCACAGCACTTCAGCTTGGTGTCGTAGAAACCCACAAGCATGGGTATGGTGCTGACAAATCTACACACAAAATACAGCAGAACCAGGAATAAAATCAGTGTCCATAGGTCTCGCCATTTTGAACATTTGCATTAAACAAAGTTGGCTACCAGAATGTATCCCAATCTAATATCTTGCAATTCAGCTCCCTCTTTTCACTCAAATTACAACTTCCAGTGGCCTATATATTAACAAGTTGTCATGGTAGCCATGTATGTATGTAGATGCAGTCTCAGTACGACTCCCAATTCGTTGGTTTCACATTAATTTTCGACTTTTATTTAAAGGTCACATGCAGCGTAAAACACAACTTTGCAGATTCTGATACCTTTCGGTATGGACTTACGAAACAAAGCGTCAAAAGTGCAAATTCAACTTATAAAGTTGAAAATAGCGATGATGAAAAAAGCTGGCGAAATCGGAGTTCAAAGCGTTTCACTAATTTTCCCCAGACTTTTCTGGGGAATACGAGTTTCAACAGCTGGCTGCGCTCATATGCGTCGCGCCAGTGAAATAGGTTTGGCGCAACTTGGAGGCGGGCTGTCTGGTGAATACTCTGTGAAGGCTTTGGTGTGAGCTAGTTTCCTAATGTTTTGATGATATCTCACAGTAGCGAGCTTTTGTATGTTATGACAGTAAATAAACTGTTTATATAATTTCATTTGTCTATTTCACCACACGTTCTTCTTACGAGTCACTTTCTCAGTTCGATGCCAAAAGCATTATTTAGAGTTGACCACGATTTCTAACTGTGATATAGATATGTAAGCTGTCACAGACAAAACTCAATGTCTTGTTTTATTGACACCAGTGTGTCTGTCTGCCTGCCTGTCTGCTAATGACAATATTCAATACACAACTGCGATCACTGACCACATGCAATTTGAACTTAACACCAATCAGGCTATACACCATAAACAAAAGCGCATTGATTTATGGCCCGAGTTAGGTCTCTGTCACATTATGTAATTACACAGACAGGCAGGTGTGATACTTGAACACATGACATGTTATGATGTCTGTTGATTGCAAAATGTTATACACAAAAAATGAGCATGTATTTACAAAACCCAACTTTCTATATATACACACACAATGACCCGTGAAGGCAGCATCTGCTAATGAACCAGCCGTTACACTTGAGTGCACACCCACCCGCTCTGACTGGGTTCGGTATCCTGGCTGCTTCGTTTTGAGGGAGGTAAACCCAAGTACAAAATATTGCACTTTTGATTTGCGATTATACGCTTATAATTTTGTTTATATGTTTTTTCATAATCAGCAATGCATATTATATGTCATGAAGAAGTGATAATTGTGTTTTAATTATGTTTGATTTTTGGTTGCATGTGACCTTTAAGTGGATATTTTTACGCTCTGGGCATGCGCACAGCAAGTCTAAAATTAATGTGAAACCAACAATTAAACACAATTCTGGAATACTGGAACATCAGTCTATTTTGTCTGGTCAATGGCAAAGTGGAATGCACATTCATCATGACTTTCTGTATTCCTAGTTCAGCCAGCTAAACGTTGTGTTCCTACCAAGGTATACTTTGGTAGGAACACGACGTTTAGCTGGCTTAACTACTGTATTCCAAGCTAATGTTCAAAGGCTGCTAAGAATATACAGGACAAAATTGCCATTAGTAATCATTGTCTTCAACTCCAGATAAAAAGAAATGGGGTTTAGAAGATGTTTAGGAGTTGAAACCTCACGTTTGAAATATACTCTGGTGTATTATATTTAAATGTGATTCTCAAGTTTTAAATTAATTTTTTTGATAGTTATTAAATAATTTGCCTTTTTTATAAAACAAAATTCAAGTACGCTAACTAGACAAAAGTGACGTAGGAAACAGCTTATTGTTCATTAGGTTCAGTGCCAGCTTCATTTGCTACCGAGATCAAATTCAGCAGGTGCCACTAAGGTGAAACGTATGACGGTTTATTTCAAAGGCGTGAACTACTGTGTTTGTTTAACAGCTTCTTGCGGTTTTCACCTGTATGCTGACTGTTTGCCTTTGTGTAGTAAACAGGTAATGTCGACTTGGGACTGTGACACTATCAGTGATTGGGACACACCAGTAATCAACCTAGCGATGAAACGTGGACAAACTCGGATCACTTGTTCCAACATCAAAACATATCTGGAAATTGATGCATACCACGGCCATGATTTCTTCCTAGAAATAAATAATACGTACCTTTAATGCTTGGTTTATATTTCTAAGTATTTGGGTGTGCACTCATCATCCACGAATAATCAAAGGACAACGTCAAATACTTTACACGGTTCACATAGCTAAGAACTCCGACAGGTGACAGACGCCATTTTGACACATATCGTCAACATACGGTTTCCCACGCGACTGTTCCAGTTTACAACCACATTTGAATACCTTAGACGAATGAGGTGAAATCAGATTGCGATTCAGTGTTATTTGAACAAACCCTTCTGGTGGATCACTCGAAGGTTACCGGCCATGGATGGTAGACAGCAAATGTCTAACCTCTAACATAAATTCGTGTAAAATGAACTAACGCATGTACTTTCTTATAAAACAATTTTACAACACGAGCATAGAGTCTGTTTACACAAAATGTCCAGATTCCTCCGTTCGACAACGATTCTTTCCTGAAGACGTTCAGTCGTTCATAATGTATTTATGTATTTTATGCTTTAGATCGGGCGAACCCCAGGTTTTGTTTCCTTTTTTATTTTTCACTTTTTGTTTAATTAAATCCAATGCAACTGGACCAAAGCTTATGGAAATTTGAAATAGGGTTTATTAACTATGTTAACAGCTAGGATGAGAAATATTGTTATGGGCTTTAATATATTAATACACTAGCTGTGTTAATGTTTCCTATGGGGAATATATTTTATGTGAATCTTTCAACAAGACTTAAAACAAACGCACTTTCAGTGATTCTATATGAACAAACAAAATGAGTAAATCCTTCAATAAAAATTGATTTGATGAAATCATAAATGATAATATGTCACAGTTGATATGAGATTCAGTCGATATATACTCAGAAAATTAATTGACATTAAAGTGCTTAACGTATTGTGTTTTCAACGTAACGTCGTTAGGCCACCTGCAGTTTTATATGTGTAAATATGTACATGCAGTGGGATTTCCTGACGGAAGGAATACACAGTAATCTACATCAGCGATCAAAGCTTGTCTGTTCTCAGTATCCTGTTCTTTTCTAGGAAGTATTAGTAATTGACGTTATAATAACAATGATAATAATAAAAGTATTACTAACTGACGTTAAATAGAAATTATAATAATGAGTATCATTACTAATTGGCGTAATAATGACAATAGTAATAGCATTACTACTTGACGTCAAAATAAAAAATAAGTTATCATTACTAATTACTTTTATGGATCCATTTGTATATAATCGCTCCCAGCTTCGATTCAGATGGACTTAACAGCAATAATATTTTGTCTTGTAAAGCACTGACAGGGGCGGTGGGGTAGCCTAGTGGTTAAAGCGTTCGCTCGTCCCGCCGGTGTAAAGCCATACTCACACACATTCAATATAGCAATGACATATTAGCTCTTGAAATCTGACAGCAGTTGCAGCATAAGGTCGTTTGTTTCCTTTTTCCTATTCTTTCCCTTAATCAGGTTTGTTTTACGAAAACAACAACATCTTCCTCTTCTAAAGTTTGAAGTATACAGAGTTTCTGAACACATTGTGGGTGTTCTTTTTACATCCTTTTAAATCGCTTGCTTCCGTTACTGTTTTGCGTCATCTATGTGTTTAATTGGTGATGTGGTTTGGTTGGAAGAACTGTCTTTGGCAACAAATTGTAAAAATATCGCAAAATAAACGTAAATATATGTTTTTTTAAGGGTCCTAGACAAAATGGCAAAACGTCAAAATAGCCATAAAACATCCAAGTCAAAATGGCTACAAAGCCCTAGTCAAAATGGCCATACCGAAGTCAAAATGGCCATACCGAAGTCAAAATGGCCCTAGAAAAGTCAAAATGGCCATACATTATTTAAATTATTTTTTTTAATACTCATAACATGTTCTCATGTTGTCTTATTTGATATCAAGGTGTAAAAATGACAAAAGAAGTTATATCAGACAAAACTTTCTGACTACTTAAGACTAAAATGAAAATAAACTTGATAAATATTACATGACACGTTATAATGTTTATAGCATATTTACAACATCACATTACAAAGTATATATACAGTGATAAAGAACTACGTCTACAACTACAAGGAGGCCTAAAACTACCCCAAGAGTTTTTCTTGCATGTGTTCTGTAAATGTCCGGTGAAATATGGTCACGAAAGAATACTTTTATCAAGTAACTATTTTGTTAAACAGAAAATTGTTTAATAAGATGTACAGTTTGAGCTAACATCCTCAACGGGAAACACGGCACTTTTCGTAGATCGCATGTCGCCTCAACAAGGAACCGGTAATCCTCTTGAACGTTACCAGGATACATGTTTCAGGAAAATATTATTACAGATATCCCGACAGATATCGACCATGAAGCACGTGACTGGCGATGTGAGCGTCATCACTACGGGAACGCCCACAAAATAATGGCAACTTTACTGTTGGATGTCATTCATAGAATTTGCAATCGGTGGCTTCCGTTTCATGTCGAAAAACAGAAAATTATGACATTTGGCTCATTGTGAATCAAGCAAAGTACACATATATACAACAAACTCAAAGGGATGTGAAATGCACGTATGTTTACTCCCAAGCTCAGCCAAAACAAAGCATGTGATTTTCAGCGTGGTGCATAGATGACGTCAAACTGGAAGCTTTCGATTGGTCGAAATTTGACAGGTGTCAATCACTGACCACGTGCTAATGTCATTTCGCCTAGCGCCTGTGTGTTTTGATCAAGCCGACCGCCATCTTATGTTGGTTGTTTAGTTTTAGAAGAAATTTTCTATATCCTCGGGTGTAACTTCGATATTTTATGATCTACAAATGCATACGATCGCATGAGTTACATGGTAACCTGGATCTGTACAAATAATGAGTCTGGAAACCCTATTAGAAGCCGCAGAATTTCTCGAGTCCAAGAAGTGGCGTACCCCGCCTAAAGCACGTGGTAAGTCTATGCACATGGCCAAGTTGGCATGCACAGCTTCACGACAAATGTCATTGTAATTTTGGCAAATGTGCTCTCAGAGATATGTTTGCAATATATGTGTATTTAGACCAGGGTTAGCAATGACATTAGTCGAACGTAGTAAATAATCTGCATATGTCTTTAGTTGATGTTTGAAGTAAACCCAACACAGTGTAAATATTTGCATATTGATGAGAACTCGGCCTTGTCAAGACTCGACTCGATTTGATTTTTCTACCAGGCGAGGAATCCTCTCAAGATTTTCACCATTACGCTAAAACATCGTCGATAGATGACAACGGAGACTCGTCGCTTGACAGCAGCCATGGTCAAGGTGGGCCGGGAGACGATTTCCGTGACAAGCGGCGCTACGGAGGGTAGGTGGTGTTCTCACTGAAAATGGCCGACATTTTGTGTTTGGATCACAATCAAAACACGGTTTCACGTTTCGTTCTGCTATTTAGTGTCCGAAATGTATGTGTGGTGTTTTGTTTTCAGAGCCGGGACACGCGAGGTCCATAACAAGCTGGAGAAAAATCGGTGAGACTTCATTTTTGCATTACCCAGCTCATTGAGGTTCACGTCGACATGCGTGTTACTATTTTTAGACTCGTCCGCGAGACACATCCGCGTGGCTGGTGTAAACTGCGTGTTTTGCAGCGATCAACTTGTAAACGTTAACGACCACTTCCTTATATATCCTTTGATTACATTACATTCGGAAACGTGTTTATTTGTAATAAGATTTCTATTTATGATTTGTTAATACGTAATATGTGGAATTTGTTTGTGCAGCATTATGTCAATATTGACTTGACAGGTCATACGTACTTGAGCTAGATAAGTAGCTGTGTGTATGTATGACGCGAATTCATGTGACAAGTAAAAGCAATATTTTGCCACAATTGTCTCAAAATCTTACTTAAAAAATGTAAAACAATTGTCGTCATGGTAGACTGACTTTGACAATCTTTTTTCCAGGCGAGCTCACTTGAAAGAATGTTTTGAAGTGCTGAAAAAACAAATTCCGTTTATGGAAGATAAAAAGACATCAAACTTGAGCATACTGAGAGGGTCTTTGAAATATATCCAGGTATTCATTGATTGCATATGATATAATTTACTTTCACTGGAGTTAATATCACCTCATGTTCTTGAAATCTAATGCTGTCTTGTGCTCTTAAATCTGTCATAAACCCATGGTTGCTGCTAACAGTTAACTTTAAAATGAGGTGAGGTGAGGTGAAATTGGGTTTAACTCGTGCTTGAGAATATTTCGCTCGTATGACGACATGCATGCATGTGTATGGGAGTTAACTTTAAATGTGTGGGTTTTTTTTGCACATATATTTTATTTTTCAGGAGAAAAACTAATTTTAGAAATGAGAAATCTGATTTATGTTCAACTTTGACACAAATAGTTGCCCCATCATATGATAATACTTATGATTATACTTCACAGTCATCTAATTATTTCTCAGTCAGGAACTGCAAATGGTGGCTCTAATAATGCATGTATTTTACATGAGTAAACTTTCAAGCGTACATGTTCATTTGTATATATATTTCCGAAAAATATGAATATCATCATTTATTACAAATAACTGGCATAAATGAAATCATAATAAAACATGAACCGTCACGTGATATCGGCGTTTCTTGACGTTCGGCATTTCCCGGAATTCTGTAGATCTGTTTTTTAAACAGATTTTATGAATATGTAGCAGTGAAACCTAAATTAAGCATTGATTGTGTTAGAATAAATTTGGGCTTAGAATTCTCGTAGCTAAGAAGATTGGTTAAATGTGGATGAAGTATCTGACAGGACCTAATACCCATTCATAACCCGAATGTTTGGTTTGTTGTGTTGGCCAACGTAATAATGACTATGCTATAAATAGAATTTCCCATAATCCTCTGTAAGGGAAGGCGTGGCCTAAGCTGTGGAGGTGGGGCTTAGGGCTATCATCTGATGGTTGTGAATAATAATGAGGCTGTCTATATTTGGAAAGTTTCTGGCAGCAGGCAGCTGCACATGGTAGCTTTTGATTGGCTGAGTGGAGTAAACACAGCCATGTGACATTGTCATGGTCGTCAGGTCAGTGTCAAACAAACCATCATTGCTATACAGAATACCTTCAGAGGGGATTATTTAAGCAAAATATGGCTTTATTGAAAAGCAGTGTTGGAATGATTTTTGTTGAAGGTTTCTTTGACAGTGGAAATATGCAAACGAAATTAAGAAATATTGGTTCTACGCTATTAAAGTTTGGGCAATGTCGGGTCATACCCTAATTTTGCAATGAACTTGGACAGTCGTTATCAATGAGAGATCTATTTCAAGCAGTCGTGTTGTGATAAGTTATGATTAGGTCGCGAATGTGCAGGTCATCACTCGCGTTAACAGATAATAAATATTATCTGTCTAATATTTCAGTTTGTGTTTACAAACAAACAAGGCTAACTGTGGCTAACTCATTCTTTCAATGGGGTACGAAAATAGATATGACTGATCGTGATACAATACACAATGTCTGCCCTAATGGCTACCTGTAAATCATCAAGGATGTACAAAAGGTGTGGCCATACTACATGCATACAAAGAGCTTGATTATTTTTCCTTTCTTTCTTTTGATACTTCCTCCATTAATTTAAACATCATAATGATTTTTACTGATTATCACATCGCTTCTACTCATTATGTTTTACAGTAACATGCTAAAAATGTAAGTGCATTACTCATTATGTTTTACAGTAACATGCTAAAAATGTGTGTGCATTATGCACAAATATGGACTTATCTCTTTCAAATATCAGATTCTTGAAACAAGGAACGCATCATACAACATTTTATAAGTCCTTATCTATTTTTCGGTGGCCTGTGGCTGACTTGGTGATGTAGGTGTTTGCCCCTTTTGTGGCCTTAGAATTTATTTAGTAATTTTCTACAGGTGGTCACAGGTGAAATCAACAAGTCCAGTATTTTAGGTCGCCTAGTCTGTCTCACAGTCCTTGAACCACAATATTTTCCCTACTACCTAGCCCTCCCTGCAATGCTAAAGCCCTAAATGAAATCAGTCTAGTTTTCCTCAGGTTCAGGTTCTGAATCTCAGACTAAGAGTTACTCTATAGTTCGCCCAAAGCATTTGAGATTATCTCTTCAAAGCATTTAATGAAACTATCACTATAATATGTATAATAGCATTAGTCTTGGAATCGTATATTAGCCCATTCTCTTCCCACAGAGGTTACTCCTGTCATATCTTCCTACGTAACCTCTGTTCTAATACGGCCCTTTCATGGTGTGAGCGTTCAAGACTCGTGATTGGAGGCAATCAGATTTAGTTGTGCAATCAGTGACGTTGTTTCAAAAGTGATCATTCGCAAGGCCTCGGTAATTTCCGTATGCTTTGAGAAAACTAAACTTCTTTCCCTGCGCGATGCGCAAACGTTTCTTCTAGACAGAACTCAGTCATGTTATGGCGGATCAGTGGCGTCTCCATCGCCCTCGTTGACAACGGACAAGCTAGCCATTAAACATCTTGTGTGTAATATCAACACAAGTCCCCGGCAGATGGGGGATATTTGTGGCCCCACATTTGCTTGTGTTAGTCAAGTTGAATCTAAGTCGATGTAACACGTGTTCTGATTGGATAGAAAGAAGGGAGATAATTCGTGTTGCGATCTTTTGCCGCTAGGGGATTTTACGAGAACCGGGAAATATGGCCGTATTAGAACAGAGGTTCGTAGGAAGATATGACAAGTAACCCCTGTGGGAAGAGAATGATATTAGCCATGCATACATTTGATGTGTTTATCAGTTATCGTTGGTAGGCCGTATTTAGTTGTCCCTTTTCTAAAAACAGAAAATCTCTTAGTTTGGAGCTGTTCTGCCTTACTCTTGGGAGTTACCTCCCTTTCATCAGTCAGCACATTAGTCAGTTTCCTACTTCATTGATACAACCTGATTCAGTGGCCAGTGATCACTATTTTTGTTTCGTGAGATTTTAAAAAATATTTCTGTTGAGTGAAAGATGCACTTGTAGTTATGTTGAAGGAAAAGGGATAGCATTCAGACTGAAAGCTTTGGCAAGAGATCTTTCAGTAAAGTAGGGACTGGTAATATATATAGTTGCTGGTTTGTTGCAAGTAACTGTAATCACATTGTCACCATGTATTCAGAACCTAAAGAGAAAGGAGAAGGAGTATGAGATGGAACTACAGCGCCTTGCGCAGGAGAAGTCACGTCTCCGTGACCGTATCGCTGCACTGAAGATGGAGCTGGCGGAGATGAACATCGAGGTGGATCTGGTGCAGTGGATGCACAGTCAGGAACAGGAGACAAACTCTACCTCTACTGCCACCGGTGAGTATTGCCCTTATCTACTGCCACCGGTGAGTATTGCCCTTATCTACTGCCACCGGTGAGTATTGCCCTTATCTACTGCCACCGGTGAGTATTGCCCTTATCTACTGCCACCGGTGAGTATTGCCCTTATCTACTGCCACCGGTGAGTATTGCCCTTATCTACTGCCACCGGTGAGTATTGCCCTTATCTACTGCCACCGGTGAGTATTGTCCTTATCTACTGCCACCGGTGAGTATTGCCCTTATCTACTGCCACCGGTGAGTATTGTCCCTTATCTACTGCCACGGTGAGTATTGCCCTTATCTACTGCCACCGGTGAGTATTGTCCTTATCTACTGCCACCGGTGAGTATTGTATTGTCCTTATCTCTGCTGCCACGGTGAGTATTGCCCTTATCTACTGCCACCGGTGAGTATTGCCCTTATCTACTGCCACCGTGAGTATTGCCTTATCTACTGCCACTGGTGAGTATTGTCCTTATCTACTGCCACGGTGAGTATTGCCCTTATCTACTGCCACCGGTGAGTATTGTCCTTATCTACTGCCACTGGTGAGTATTGTCCTTATCTACTGCCACCGGTGAGTATTGTCCTTATCTACTGCCACCGGTGAGTATTGCCCTTATCTACTGCCACCGGTGAGTATTGTCCTTATCTACTGCCACCGGTGAGTATTGTCCTTATCTACTGCCACCGGTGAGTATTGCCCTTATCTACTGCCACGGTGAGTATTGTCCTTATCTACTGCCACTGGTGAGTATTGCCCTTATCTACTGCCACCGGTGAGTATTGTCCTTATCTACTGCCACTGGTGAGTATTGCACTTATCCCATTGCATCTACTACTGCCACCGGTGAGTATTGTCCTTATCTACTGCCACCGGTGAGTATTGCCCTTATCTACTGCCACCGGTGAGTATTGTCCTTATCTACTGCCACTGGTGAGTATTGCCCTTATCTACTGCCACTGGTGAGTAATCCATTGCCCTTATCTACTGCCATCGGTGAGTATTGCCCTTATCTACTGCCACCGGTGAGTAATCCATTGCCCTTATCTACTGCCATCGGTGAGTAATCCATCGCCCTAATCCATTGCCACTGGTGAGTAATCCGTAATCTGGTTTTGGTTTCAGAGGGTCGCAGTCCCATCGTGAGTGACGCAGAGGAAGATGGGGAGGAGGAGGAAGAGGAATCTCCGACGCTGCAGCGTATCGCACCAAAAGCTGGTATGGAAAGTGACAAGATCAGCAACATTAAGGTTTTAATGACTGATTCTTTTCGAGGCGACTAAGTGGTGATTGTGTGGCCACAATGGCTACTGAGTATGGATAGTACCTGATTGGTGACTACCAGGGAAGACCAACTCCAGGTTTTATCTGGAAGGTGGGTACCGTGTTTCTGGGCAACGAGTACATTTGCGACTTCACCTGGACAGGAATGGTTGGATGTCATACCGTTGGTTAATAGATTTCACTTCACAAGATAACATGGTGAAATATGGATGTATTGAAGCAATTTTAAATTGAGTGAGTCATGTAGACTCAGGGGTTAAAAAATCCCATCGCCCGACGCCCGGGACAAGTCAGTTTTCATTTCGGGCAATCAAATAATGGTATCTTACTTGTCCGTGGGCTACTAGAAAATTTCCACTTATGGTTTCAAACTGAAAATAAACTTGGATTTAATTTCATATCTGCTCAAAATGTAGCTATTAAATTTCGCAATGATAATAAAGTAGAGTTATCCTTTTTTGCTATTTATCACTTTTCAATAAATAGTCCAGTAAACATTAACATCAAATACCATCATGATGTTGATTTATTCTTTGAATTACAGCATCATGATTATTTCATAAAATCAGGGCAAGTGGAAAATTAGTCAGGACAAGTTACTTTCTCAAAGTCACTTGCCCTGTGGCAATAAAACCATGAGCATATATATGATGGCTAGAAGCATAATTGGATAGCTCTAATTTGAACAGTGTAGTAGTTACATCATGGAGCGATGGGGTAGCCCAGTGGTTAAAGCGTTGGCTCGTCACACCGAAGACCCAGGTTCGATTCCCCACATGGGCACAATGTGTGAAGCCCATTTCTGGTGTCCCCCGCCGTGATATTGCTGGAATATTGCTAAAAGCGGCGTAAAACTAAACTCAGTCAGTCAGTCCGTTACATCATGATGGTCATCATATCCCAATTGCGTAGATTGATGCTCAAGCTGTTCATCACTGGATTGTCTAGTCTAGACTTGATTATTTACAGACTGCCACCATATAGCTGCAATATTGCTGAGTGTGGTGTTAAACAACAAACAAACAAACAAACAAAACCGTCATGATGTGTCAGTTTAATGTGGAGGGACCAAAACAATGCATATACCACTCTGTGAGTCCCACACTGCAAGTATTAAGACAAATAGATCAATATCGCTCATTTCAGGATGGTTTTACATCAAATTCCATGTGTATCAATGTCACTGCAAGACAAGCCAAGATCAATAAGCCAGATAATTAAAATATTAATGGTCACATGCTAGAGCTCTTACCTTCACAGCCATCAATATGAAAATCATTTTGGCATAATTTTCTTAACATGGCTTTATGATTTGACAAATATTGGACCATTAACTTCTGTCTATGAAATTTTTCACAATGACTTTGCAGCAATGATGAACTCTGCCGTGAAGTCCCTGCCGCTTGGAATGTATAAAAATACGCCATCGGGTAAAGCAAGTTCTGCTGTGCAACATGCATCGCCAGTCACAACAGCTGCCTCACCATCTGTTGCACCCCCTCCTGTTGCCCCCCGACCACCCATGGTGAGACCCCCCGTCACTCAGATACTACACGACACGCTAACACAACGCCAAGCGTTACAGAAACAAGCTCTAGCTGCATCTCAAGGTGAGTGGTCAATGTTTTTCTCAGGGCAGTGTAGCTCCAGTAACCTATGCTTTGGCAGTGTGGGTCCCCTGGACCCCATGCTTGTAAAAGTGGGTCCCCCGGACCCCATGCTTGGTGAAAGTAACCCATGCTTGGTCAAAGTGGGTCCCCCCAGACCCCATGTTTGTCAAAGTGGGTCCACCGGAGCCTATGCTTGGTCAAAGTGGGTCCCCAGTAGAAGACCATCTCCACTGTGTTGTAGCTTTGGCATCCTGATTGTAATTTGTGACCTGGCTGATTTTGTGTCATTTTATGATGTGTGTTGCTCATGCTGTCGACCACTGGTTTGATGAGCCCCAAACTCAGTATTCATTAAATGCAACCCGTTAGCTGGAACTTTGCTGATGCTGCTTAAAATAACTGGGTCACAGTGATATGATTGTATTAATGCTGATTTCACATTAGAATCCCATTTACTTAATTATTGCTGAACAAACTTTCCCACTAAGTTCAGTGTTCTTTTCTCTATTGCAGCTGCCCGTGCAGCCTCTCAGATGAACATGAAGCAGCCGATTACATCTTTACGACAACCATTTGCAATCAGTAACCTTGCTCCTTCTACGACCTCTGTGAATCCTGGAGGTCATTCAGGATCGGGAAAACTGATGACGGCCACAGTGAACATCCCTAATATTTCCAAGGCTCTAGGACATCCGCTGTTGGTTGCTGCAACAGCTCTGGCAGCAGTGGCATCCCAAACGCTGGTGGATCATCATCAGCTATCCTGAATCACCTGAATTCAGTTAAAAACCCTTTACCTTCTGTCATAACGACTTTGGCCCCACCCACTGTTTCCACGGTAACTACACGGTCCCAACAATCAAACCCATCTTTGCGACATCCCCAGCGCACTTGGTGCCCGGGCAGCTGACATTTAATCCGTTAATTGCTGGAACGATGCCCAAGACGACAGGTCAAGTATTATCTACAGTCGGGAACATCCCTACGGGGACGATCCTCACCTCCACCCAGACGCAAGTAACCAGCATGCCCCACATAATGTCACTAGCACACATGGGCCTTAACAACATGACTGTCATGTCGCCTGGGATGCCTGTCGCCAACTTGGCATCAAATCAACTCAATAACGTTCTGTCACAGCAGGCGATCCTGAAGCAAATCCCTCTTCTTCAGCCACATATACTACAGTCAGGGCAAATGATTGGAACCCCTGTTGTCAAGCCAGTTGTCATGGTTTCCATGCCTAGTGTTGCCACGACGACCACTCCCGCGGTGCAGGTCACCCATTCGACATCGTAACTGCATTCCAGGATGATTTGTTGTTGCTGTTTTTTTGTCCCAGAGAAACAGAATAGAGTTATGTCCTGTGACGTACGTATTTATTTTAGTATTATCTCTTCTAAAGAGATGCTGTTGTATCCAGGACAACTGTTGCTAGGTAACATGGTGCATACATTAGGGTCTTGTTTTATATCCATTTGTTATTGAAGTGAAAATGTTATCAAGTGTGATAGTGAGATATTTTGACATGTCTACATGAAATGTGCTCAGCTTGTTGTGTGTGTTGTGTAAATGTTTTGTGTCAAGTGTTGGAACTGATGTCTAGCTTGCATGGATGTATAGAAAGTATTCATAAGCATTTTTTGAATTGTCAATGCTGATACCGGTACCACTTATCATGAACTTACATGACTGGGGTCACTGTTCCTGAACATGACGTGGTCACTGTTCCTGAACGTGAGTGCTTTACTGTTCATAAACCTTACTTGGTTCACTTTTCATGAACTTTGGTTCACCTGGACGAGGTTCACTGTTTATGAACATCACTTGGTCAGTGTTCATGAATAGGTTAGGTTCACTGTTCATGAATTGGACAGGTTCACTGTTCATGAATTGGACAGGTTCGCTGTTCATGAATAGGTTAGGTTCACTGTTCATGAATTGGACAGGTTCACTGTTCATGAATTGGACAGGTTCGCTGTTCATGAATAGGTTAGGTTCACTGTTCATGAATTGGACAGGTTCGCTGTTCATGAATTGGACAGGTTCGCTGTTCATGAATTGGACAGGTTCGCTGTTCATGAATTGGACAGGTTCGCTGTTCATGAATTGGACAGGTTCGCTGTTCATGAATTGGACAGGTTAGCTGTTCATGAATTGGACAGGTTCGCTGTTCATGAACTTGACTAGGTTTACTGATGATGGATGTGAACTGATTTCACTGATGAAGAGTGAGACTGGGATTACTAGTCTTTGGAAATCGGTTAAAATTACATGAAGTAATCTGTAATAGATTATGATTGTGACACAAACAGTACCTTCAATGTAAATAGCACTAAACAGCTTTCAAATGATTCACAAAACCACATTAATGGGACGCTATTGGTGACTTTGGCTTTCCTATCAGACATATTATGCAGTTAATCCCGCACTAACAGATAAATTTCATGAGAAAATTTATCAAACATTTCATTATTGATGATTAAAACTGTAACCAAACCATCCTAGCAATAGGTTTCAAATATAATGAATTTTGTTGATTTCATTAATCATGAATTGTTACATCAATCATGACATCACCCATTTTCCCTGGTCATTAATTGTATTGATCTCGTGCACGATGAACATGAATTGTATCAACAAATATGAAATCACTTGTATCCAATGATTTGAAAAATAATTCACATGTATTTTCAAAATGTTCAAAACAGATGTAATTTCTGTTGATGTCAGTTTCCTTCACTGTAGTACCCTGAGTAGGTGAGTGGTGGGGTAGCCTAGTGGTTAAGCGTTCTGCTCATCACGCCGAAGAACTGGGTTCAATTCCCCACATGGGTACAGTGTGTGAAACCCATATCTGGTTTGCTCCACTGTTGCTGGAACATCTCTAAAAGCGCGTAAAACCACACTCACTCACTCACTCTGAGTAGGTTGGGATTAGACGCTGCCCTGAACAGCTGAACAATATTTTGGTTAGATCATGATTTGTGGCAGGATGAAGGAGGAAAGCGTGAAGCGATGCAGGTCTTTGTTGTTAACTCATGAAGATAATGCTGACATACCTTGAAACAAAATCGGAGTAAATTGTAACACCCATGGTGTGTCATATAAACATTACAATAGAACACATTTAATGCCACAAAAACAAATCACCTCTCAAGTCAGAAATTGATTCTAATGATTACTTAAATCATGGAATTACCATTTTTAAAACATTTGAATCCTGCATATTTCCCAGATGCAACCATGTCAGTGTGACCTACTACAGTCGAGGGGCGGTGGGGTAGCCTAGTGGTTAAAGCGTTGGCTCGTCACGCCGAAGACCCGGGTTCGAATCCCCACATGGGTACAATGTGTGAAGCCTATTTCTGGTGTCCCCCGCCGTGATATTACTGGAATATTGCTAAAAGCGGCTTAAAACGAAAACTCAGTCAGTCAGTACTACAGTCGAACCCAGTTGTCTTGGACTCCAAAACACCAGAGAAATGCAACATGTTATATTTGGGATTACACTTTCCTAGTAAAGTACAGATTCTAGTACTTGAGTTGGGTTGATTCCATGATACGAGCCCACACCTTCAGAGTTGGGCACCTAATCGCAGCACACAATGTCAGATGCCTAACCCGCTAAGGCACTGTGGTTTCAAGAAAAACTGTCGGACAACTGGTAGTCTAGACCACAGACTTTGTGTACCTCTCTGATAAGTGTAAATTGAGAAATGGTTATCTGGGGTTGACACAGAGATTATTACACATTGACTTTGTGTTTATATAGTCACAACAGTTTTGTTGACTGAAGATCTTACAGGCCTAAGTACCGGTCATATTGTGGCAGTATTCATTCAGAACAACCAATGTCCTGTCATTGTATTAAATGTAATATTGTGTTTAGGACAAAATACCAATACAAATTGAAACTTTTGCAAAGTACAAAAAACATGAGTTCAACTGATCTGGGTAACTTTAAAGCTTATGACTGATTTACGAATTCCTTTAGTTTGGCAGTCATCACACTATGAAAATCTTTTAGATTTTTTCTGGACTATAAGCTCACCCTCAATAGTTGTGTGGATAATAGTCTTTTGTAACCTAAAACTTGAGTTTACCTTTTTTATAATGCTCTAAATTCAATTCACTAGGTGATTGCACATAGAGCTAATATAAATCCACTGGTATTTACAAAGTTTTTAAAAGGAGCAAGATGAGTATGTGTTGTAAAATTGGTTAAACTGGTAGGTCTTTAAAGTCCTTTTAAAAGTGGAGAGATTTTCAATTTTTTCAAGTCAGCAGGCAGTTTGTTCCACATTCTGGCTAGGTTTTAACTATTTTTAGCTCTAATGACTATGATATGAGTTTGGTACCACCAAGAATCTGACACTAGGTAAAACTGGAGACAACTGTGAGAAGAGCTTGCAGTGATTGGGATGTCGCGGAGTCATGTTTTGGACTGTATCTACAATGAGAACACCAAACTGGATGCAGAAATAGTCAGTTTTATTTCCTTGTGTTGTGAATTATTTATTCCTGTCCCATATTAAGTTCAGTGTGCCAAACATGTAGATTGTGGTTTGTCAAATATCTGTGGAAACGTATATTTTTTTTTTTTTATAGAAATATGTTACCAAGTATATTTGATGTTATATAAAAACCTTTAAAGCTGGCTTGAATAGAAGTTACTTTGACTGTAAAAAAATACTTCAAGTATTCAATGCTTCTTAGTTCTTCACTTTTGCAAAAATTAGGCAAGGCAAATCTGTAGATCAAGACAAAACAACCTTGTGATGTGTACTACAAGGTTATAGAAGAAGAAGTTATAGAAACCCCAGTACTGTTCATCGGACTACAGCTAGTCTGGCCTGGAGGGGTGGTGGGGTAGCCTAGTGGTTGAAGAGCTCGCTCATCATGCCAGAAACCTGGTTCTATTCCCCACATGGGTACAATGTGTGAAGCCTATTTCTGGTGTAACCCGCCGTTATATTGCTGGAATATTGCTACAAGCTGCGTAAAACTGTACTCACTCGAAAGATCAAAATTATCACTAAGCCACTTCGATTGCCCACATTGGTACAATGATCATTTCTGGTATCTGGTATTGCTGGAATATTGCTAAAAGCAGCATAAAACTAACTCACTCATTAATCCAACCTGCCATGACAGATTATCTGTAGTTAAATGAAACAAATTACCTAATAGCATGACAGAGTAACTAAAATATGATATAATCAGGGTCTCTTTAACTTCTTTTCCGAATATGTGATGATACGCTATGGTAGTTGTGTAGACACTGTGGAGACTAGTTTGCTTGTGAGAGAGAATGTGTTGTCTGTTTTACTAGTGTGATGTGTTGTTGTCAGACATCTCTTCAGGCAGCTTCTGATTTTGTTAATTACCTATTGTAAGTACTTTCTGTTGCTATTTGTGTATATATGTTTGTGAGTCCATACCTGGGCCCTGTTTCACAAAGCTCTTGTAAGCCTAAGATCTCGTAACATTTGTACCTCCTTTGTTACAGTATAGGAGGTACAAATGCTGCGAGAAAGTTACGAGATCAGGAGGTACAAATACTACGAGAAAAGTTACGAGATCAGGAGGTACAAATACTACGAGAAAACTTACGAGATCTTAGGCTTACAAGAGCTTTTTGAAACAGGCCCTGGACTACTTTGTTTATATTCTTTGTAAATATACAATGGAAATACTAATTTATGACTTTGGTGCAAACTGTATTATTAAACCACAGTTTCTTCCCACCTTTTGTTGCAAAATTAATTTCATCCAGATTTGTTAGTATGAATGAGCGTTTGCAATTTCTACATCATATATAGGCTTAGTGAAAATGTTATGCTTGAAAAAACATAAACAAATTCTGTCCTAATTTGTACTCATGTAGAAATGGTTTTCTTCTCATATTTCAACATAGTTGAAAGACTTCTCAGTATTGCAGGGGTAGGGAAGCCTAGTGGGTAAAGTGTTAGCTTACAGTGTCTAAGACCTGGGGGGTGGTGGGGTAACCTAATGGTAAAAGCGTTCGCTCGTCACGCAGAAGACCCGGGTTTGATTCATCACATGGGTACAATGTGTGAAGCCCATTTCTGGTGTCCCCTGCCATGATATTGCTAAAATATTGCTAAAAGCGGCGTAAAACCAAACTCACTCTAAGACCTGGGTTCAGTTCCCTAGATGGTAAAGTGTGAGGCCAATTGTTGGTGTCCCCTCACTTCAATAAGGTTCTCCCTGTAAAGCCATGTTCATTATGATCAGGCGTGGTGGGGTAGCCTAGTGGTTAAAGGGTTCGCCCGTCATGCCGAAGTCCCAGGTTCGATTCCCCACATGGGTACAATGTGTGAAGCCCATTTCTGGTGTCCACTGCCGTGATATTGCTGTAAAATTGCTAAAAGTGGCATAAAACCAAACTCGTTCACGCACTCACTCATTATGACCATGTTAAAACAATACCCCTTAGGTCTCCCTGTAAAGCCATGTTCATTATGACCTTATTATAACTATACCCCTTTAGGTCTCCCTAGCACTGCAAGTGTTTTATGTTTGAGGATCAGCATTGGGAGAAGTGTGGTAACCAGGTAGTTAAAGCAATCGCTTGCAATGGGGGCAGAAATCGAAAAATACAAAAACAGTCTGGCCTAAGCATTGCATTCTACATAGATTACATTCAAACTGCCAGAAACAAATCTGGAAAAAGATCCTCTTCCCAGTGGTAGTCTATTGATATTGTGTAGAAAGATGTAAAAAGTGAAACCTTATTTTATCCAAGCTATTCAACTTTTGATAGGGAGACATAAGTCTGTAATTCGCCATTATAATTAATCAGTGTGTAGGGGAACATTATCAGCAGCCCTATCAAAAGTTGAGTAGATTGGTTACTTGAGTGCCAAATTATGGATTACCTCGTGCTGACAAGACGAGAATCTCTGTGCTCCTAAATGAGCCACAAAGGGATTTAATAAATATTAGCACTATATGCTGATACAGAGGGATAATATTGATGTATAAACCATGTAACTAAATGTGTGGTGTGTTTTATGTGCACACCTTGTCAAAAGCTATGTCCAGACTTCAATAATGAGAAAATCATCTTTTCTGTTCTCTACGTTGGATATTATACTACCCACTAAAATTGAAGACCACCTGATTTCTTCATATTACTGTAGTCCATTTCAGATTAACTATAATATACTGAAGGAAACAAATAAGGGAACATCACTTCATCACAGTGTTCCTTTATTTATTCTCAGATTGTCACCCACAGTGTGATACAAAGCTTGTGAAGAAACCTGGAAAAGAATAAAGTTACACTTGTGCTTTAATGTGATACCTTATTTGTTTCCCTCAGTATAGTATGAATGAATTGGGTGGACCTAAACGTTTTTTTATTAGTATGTATGTTCCTTCAACACATAGGTATTGCATTTTTTAGGGAAGAAATTTCTGAAACTTATGAAAAAAGACAAACATTAATTTGTACCAAGTTTATTCAACAAGGAGATGATACATCTCAGTATAATGTCATCAAAATGTTAAATGTAACAAATAAATACACCCTGACTGAATCAATCTCAGTTACCGTATTACCTCCATTAAGAGCTTTGTGATCTATTGTGCTGGAGACTCTTTCAGTAACAGATGTCTGCTTTTGTTACAGACCAGTATTCATTGTTGAGGCTTGGCTTAGTGTGGTCTTCTAATCATTGTAGTTGACCTGTCCCTCATAGAAATTACCTTTATTTAACACCTCACTCCCAGATCTGTCCCTGAATCATGTTTTTAGAAATGACAAGCTTAGTGGTGAAATTAGGCTAGGCAATTAAATTAAATTAAATTAGTTGTGTGGATACTAGTCTTAGGCTCATCAGGCCAAAGGCCATGTTTGATTTCCACATTGGTACAATACCTAGCCTCTGAAAATACTTGAATTTTTATAAAACAAGTCTTGGCATGAGGGTAGAATCAGAACCTAAAATTGTGGAATATTTAGACATCTTTCATTTTAGACTATAACATTTCACAAAATAATATGGTTTGGGGACTGAGAGATGACAAGGGTTTAGTGTGTGAAGCCCCTCACTGATTTTCCAAATGTGATATTGCTGGAATATTGCTGAAAAGTGGCAAAAACACACTTTAATTAAAAGGGTTTAATTGAGGACATAGTTCACAACAACTGGAATAATATTGCCAGGTGATATAACTGGTTTGATGCACTACAGTAAATATTATGTAGTAGTATATATAATGGACGTATTGTACATAGACAACCTTGAGTAAATCTCATGTAAACAGCATACAACAATATTTCTGTTTGAAATTTAAAATCTTCTTTTTTGTTTGTTTATTTATTTTATTTTCTATTAATTAATGATTAATCTGGTTAACATCACCTAGTGGATTCTTTCTCAACACATGGCTGAAGAAGCAAAGTTGAAACCAGCTTGAATGTGACAAGACAAAAAAGATAACGTTAGGATGAAAACTGATAAACAATGAAAAGCATATTTATGTTTTCATATGCTTTTAGTATTTATGTTTGATAATACTCCAGATGTGTAGACATTGTCACTGGATCATGTGAAGCCGTTGCTAGAGAAACCAAAAAGGTGTATAGTACACATTCACAGGAATACTGTTGAATAAAGTGAAAATGTCAGAATCAATCAAGTTGGTTGTTTTTATTGAACAGAGCTTGATATATATACTACTCAATTTCTGCTAAGGATAACTCTTTTAAGAGGACTATTGGTCCTTAGCACATATTGAGAAGTATATGAGCTGTCTTAAAGCTGTATAATGTTTGGGTAAAACAACTTTCTTTCAGATTTACTAAATATGATTCAGGGGGAAGGGGTGGCAAATGTTTGCAGTCAAGATGAATTTAAGGTTTATAAGTTTCGATAAACTTAAGTTAGTGGAGCATCTACTCACTCAAGTGTAACACATACAAGCCTACTACATGTGAACTTGACAATCCTGTCCCAAAATAACTAAACTAACTGCAAAAAAGAAAGGAATAGTCTACAGGACAAATATCTGGTAATACTATATTAGTTCGCATGACCTGCCTTTCCACGCAACATTTGCTAAAGGTGCAGGTTAGGCTGCCTTAATGAGCCATTACTCTTACCCAAACTGAGGATATGGTGTGAGGTCTTTGAATGGCATTTAGAAGTGATACACATACGGAAGAGAGTTTTATGGATGACAACTTCTTTATTATGAGGAACAACGTTTCAGAGTACATCCTTACTCCATCATGTGATAATAAAGAAGCTGACATCCATAAAAATCTCTTCCTTAATTTGGTGTGATATGCCTTTCTACATAATGTTGGCTAAGGGTGCAGGTCAGACTCACATACTGAGCTTCCAGTACACAATCCATATCTTGAGAACTACAGAAAATCACATGGTTACTAGGGCTGCAACGAATACACTATGTGGCGAATATGATACGTATCATGAATATTGGGTAACAAATACGAATAATTATTCACGAATACTGTATTGTAGTTAAGTGATTGATGTAGAATATGGAACGCCCATGCTGACAATTTTGATTTGTCACAGCAATAACCAGTGATCTCATGACACTCAAATTTGGTATGTAATAGTTATAGTCGACAGTAGCATGTGCGGCCTTGGCAAACTAACATGACTTGCGCTACTGCAAGGCTAGTACATATTCAATGGCTAGTACATATTTAATCCTTGCATATCTCACTTTCCAAAAGTACACAAGGGTTCAAGTAAAACATGCTCCCTTAAAAAAATCGTAAATATCCGTTAATATTCGGTTCTGGTGATCACAAATAACAAATTGAATTCATGAAGGGCTACGGTTCGATTCACCAAATATGCGAGTGAATCGTTACAGCCATAATGGTCACAGCAACTTGGGGGAATGAATTTACCTGAGTATACATTTAGAATTGTTTAGTGCTCATGGATCAGTCTACGGTGAATTATTGATTTAGTAGATTAACTGATATACTGACAGGGCCTCATTAGAATATACTGAGAGAAACAAATAAAGGATGACAGGAAAATTCAAGCCTTCCTTTAATATTTTCCATTTTTCATCACCAGCTTTGTATAGCGCTGTGGTGATGAAAACTGGAAAATAATAAAGGAACGCTTGAATTTTCCCGTCATCCTTTATTTGTTTCTCTCAGTATAGAATGGCGCACAGCAGTTTCCATTCAAGACTCATAGCCAGGCACATAGGGTTGAAATACAGGTGGGCAGGTTTGGTATTTTTAGCCACACTGCAATATTCAGATTAAATGGCATTGATATTGTATGCAATGATCCATGCAGTTACTCGGGACCTTTAATAAATAGGATTTTCCCAATGGTTATTTTAAAATAGCCCCTGTCATATCGGAGCCATTACCTTTAAACAAACTGGAGATATGGTATGATATGCATGCATATGTATAAGGATACTGAAATAGAACCATTCTGTTTGGGATTTTTCATGTTAAACTAACTAAACCTAATTTAATTCCTTGACCCACTTCATAAAATGGGAAAATGTGAAAGGAGTTCAAATAGATCCAACATGGCAGTTATCAGCTCTATTTAATGATTTCACTACATATTCAGTTTTTAAAAGAACAGAACCTGACAGATTAAAAAAGAAATGGTGTCCAGTTAAGAGAACGGTTAACCAGTATGCGAATAATAAAAATCATAAAATGAAAATATAAAAATTCCTTTTCACATACTGTACAAAGTGAAACATAACATCAAGGAGACAAAAGGCAATTCACTGTAATGGACCATGGTTATAATATCCAGATGAGCATCTGCCCCTCCTGGTGTGCCTTCAGTTGTCTCCCTTCAACCATGTCATTGTATTGGACGTGTCACATAAACTCTGGCACTAACAGCCCATGAACTGGATGATGGAGGCCTTATGAGGTCTGTTAGCGCAATTGGGGTGACCAACTTTGGTCATCATTACAGCAAACCAACTTGAGCTTGGTAAGATAGCCCATCGCCTCTTGTTGCCTGCTGTAAAACAAAAATTCCAGTTTGAACAAATATGTTCAGAACATAACTGTAATAGTTTACAGATATTTGTGTTTCTAAACAATAAACATGCTGAACCAATCCTTGACAGAAACAGACAGTGTTCAGTTATCAGTCTTGTATATTCCTCAGGGAGCTGAGAATAAACATTGTGTGCATGTTGATCCATTGACTGGGCAATAATGTACATTGAGCATTTTTTTAGATGTGGATTTGACACATTGTAAATATGCACATAATTGTTATTTATTATCAAAGGCAGTTTGGCTAAAGCTGATATTTACAATATTTCAGTTACAACACTTCCAGGAATGTCTGAAGTGAAGGAGGTCCTAACTATTTACCACACTAGTAAAACCAACAAACACAGGCACGTGACAACCCTCGGAACATATTAGGGTTAAATCTGATTCCAATAAATGATAAAAGGTTTTAATCACACCTAAAGGATAGAACTAAGCACAGGAAACTGTGGCACCAATAGGACTGGGCAAACCATACTCCTAATCGGACAACTGAGAAACAAGTTTATTTTTGCTTAAATCTCAAAACAGTGGAACCATATATACAAAATTGGTACTCCATAAAAATTATAATTGTTCAGCTGGTACTGCAAGTGGTTGCCTTAAACTTTCTGTGAAAATACTGTAAATGTTGGACAAGGAGAGGTATTCATTCTTTCAGTGACATTCCAGGGATCACTAACAGACCTGCAGACCTCGGACAATATAAACAAGCAAGATCATGCACAAGCCTAGAAAACAGATCTTACTGCAAAGATTCATTGTTTCAAACTTCAGAGTAAACATGGTAAAGTGGCCATTTCATTGGTTTCATCCTAATATATTTACCCTGTTAATTTCTAGATGTCGATTTCTGGTGACGATCTCTTCCATTATCTCACCATCACCTTTCACTAATCTGGAAGAAATCATAATTCATTATCTTTAAATCTTCTCCATCATCTAGCCTGTTTGTATAATATCTACACCAAATTCAGAAATAGAAGTGTTAGTCTGTTTACATCGGTCACATGATCTCACATACCTCACCTGGTTCCTGTCTCGGTATGACACGTATGTCTCACCTGATGCTCCCAGTCATTATCACATGCAGGTCTCATCTGGATGTCAAGTTGAGGGATCTTACGCAAGTCTCACCTGCTTCTCCCTGTCTCAGGATCACACACGTCTCACCTGGTTCTCCAAGTCTCAGGATCACACATGTCCTACCTACTTCTCCCTGTCTCAGGATCACACACGTCTCACCTGGTTCTCCAAGTCTCAGGATCACACATGTCCTACCTACCTCTCCAAGTCTCGGGATCACACATGTCTCACCTGGTTCTCCCAGTTTCTGGATCATACACATGTTTCACCTGGTTCTCCCTGTCTCAGGATCACACACGTCTCACCTGGTTCTCCAAGTCTCAGGATCACACATGTCTTACCTACCTCTCCAAGTCTCGGGATCACACATGTCTCACCTGGTTCTCCCAGTTTCTGGATCATACACATGTTTCACCTGGTTCTCCCTGTGTCGGGATCATGCATGTCTCACCTGGTTCTCCAAGTCTCAGGATCACAATGTCTCACCTGGTTCTCCAAGTCTCAGGATCACACATGTCTCACCTGGTTCTCCCAGTTTCTGGATCATACACATGTTTCACCTGGTTCTCCCTGTGTCGGGATCATGCATGTCTCACCTGGTTCTCCAAGTCTCAGGATCACAATGTCTCACCTGGTTCTCCAAGTCTCAGGATCACACAGTCAAGTCTCAGGATCACACATGTCTCACCTGGTTCTCCAAGTCTCAGGATCACAATGTCTCACCTGGTTCTCCAAGTCTCAGGATCACACATGTCTCACCTGGTTCTCCCAAGTCTCTGGATCATCACATGTCTCACCTGGTTCTCCAAGTCTCGGGATCATGCATGTCTCACCTGGTTCTCCAAGTCTCAGGATCACAATGTCTCACCTGGTTCTCCAAGTCTCAGGATCACACATGTCTCACCTGGTTCTCCCAGTTTCTGGATCATACACATGTTTCACCTGGTTCTCCCTGTCTCAGGATCACATGTCTCACCTGGTTCTCCAAGTCTCAGGATCACAATGTCTCACCTGGTTCTCCAAGTCTCAGGATCACACATGTCTCACCTGGTTCTCCCAGTTTCTGGATCACACATGTCTCACATGGTCTCATGTCTCTGTTGTTTCTCCCACTCCTCCTTGCTCATTGGTTTCAGCACACGAGGGACTGGACCCACATGTCCTGAAAGATTGTTTAGACACTTTCTAGACAGTTGTCACCTAACACATGTACCATGATCACATAAAGCCCACATTCAAAAACTATACCTCAGGGTGTACATGTAATTACAATGTGTGGTGCACATCTTTGAAGATTTATAAAGTTGGCACATTTGTATTTTAAGTTTTCATATTGTATTTATCATGTATATATATATATATATGCACAAAATGTCCAAAATAGTACAGGTGTTCAGTCATAAATATTACATAGATAAATAAAAACAGAATGCCTTTTTCTCCAACATGTTTCGTTCTTTACTCTTCAGGGAGATTGTAGCGGTTACAGTATGACGTCATTACATATATATTGTGACGTCACAATAGGGACAACATTCTAGAGCGACAAGGTCACAGCTTGCAATGGTTTAACATTGGTTTGAACTTGTCTATGAAGTAGTGTTCTTTTAAAATTCGTTTTACTTTGTCCGAATTTTGAACTTGATAAAAGGAAATATTGTAAATTTAACATCGTTTCCTTTCGCACAGACATCTAGATGTTCACTCAGTGGGATACATCGGGTTTCAGGACACTTTATTTGTTGTTTGTGGACACGAACCCGGGCTCTTAAATTTTCTGATTGACCAATATACTGTTCATTACAGCCTGTGCATGTTATGACATATATTATGTTTTTGCAAGAGCAGTCAAAATTCTGTTTTACATAGAATTCTCCGTGTCTCGTGAAAGTTACAGAGTGTCCTTCAACAATATGTGGACACGTTCCACAGTTACCTCTGTTGCATCTAGACACAGTAGGATTTGATAAATTCTGTTTCTTTAAAATAAATTTAGCTTTTGTTAGTATCTTTTTAAGATTCTGATTTTGTCTTTTTGCTATTTATTATTTTTCTAGATTTCAGCATTGATTTCAGTTTTTCATCTTGTTCTAAGATGCACATATTTGTTTTTATGTTCTGGAACACATTTGGGTTCAACGGATTAAAAGTAGATACAAAAGCAATAACTTTTTCCTCATTGGTTTGTTTCATCGTTCCTGTCAAAAGATCGTCTCTATTAAGCTGTAAAGTTTTATTTATTCCGTCTTCAACAAGAGATTTTGGATATTCCCGTAATAGTAAAAACATCCTAAGTTCATTCAGTCTTTGATTGCGGGTGTCCTGGTTTGAAACTATTGTACATATTCTTCGTGCCAGGTTATATGGAAGACTTCTTTTGGTGTGGCTCGGATGACAAGATTTGAAGTTTAAATATTGTTTCAGATCTGTAGGTTTGTAGAAGATATCTGTGTCCAATTTCGCCTTGATTTGATGACCATTGAGTCTAAGAAAGCTGTTTTAGTTTCATCTGCCTCCATAGTGAAAACAAGATTTTCGTCCATGCTATTTAATAGTTCGTAAAATGTATTTAGTTTCTCCTCAGAAAATGGCCAAATTATGAAGCAATCGTCTAGAAATCTTTTCCAATTTTCCATGAAATAATGGGCAACATCCTCTCCAAGAATTTGACTGATTTTATGCTTGAACTTTTCCTCCAGATATCCTAAGACAAGCGTAGCATAAGTTGGCGCCATTTTGGTTCCCATGGCTGTTCCTTTAATCTGTTTATAGTACTTATCGTCAAAAAAGAAAATATTGTTTTTAAGATGAATTCAACGCTTTCCAAAATGAATGATTTTGAAATTCGCTCAGGTATGTGTTCTTCACAACGGTTTAACCAATAATCCAACGCTTTAATTCCTAGGCTATATGGGATATTTGAATACAAACTTTTTACATCAAAAGTTACAAGTTTGCTTGTTTCATTAACGTTTTGTGGTAAAGAGGAAAGGAAATGCATGGTGTCACGAGTAAAACTTTTAACATTTGGTGAGATTGGTTTCAATAAAATACCAGTGAAATTACTGAGTCTATGTGTAGCACACGCTGGGCCTGCAATTATAGGTCGGAGTTTCAAATCTCCCGGGTGTTCCATCTCAACATAGCTGCTTTTAGCACTTTTCACAATGTCTTATGATCTCCTTACTTTTATGAATTTTGGGTAAGCCATAGAAATTGCTCGATTTGCAGTCAAAATGTGTTATATAATTTAATTCCTTTGATGTGAGCTCTTCTGAGTACTGACTGGTTAGGTTCTTTAATTTCCGAAGTACACTGTCTGACTCTTTTTCACTGCACGGAACATAAGTACCTTTGTCCAGGAGTAAGTCCATTGCCATGTGTTTGTAGTTCGTTGAATCCATTATCACTGTTGCTCCGCCTTTGTCAGCCTCTTTTATTATGATGTTCGGATCATTGGCCAAAGAGTTTAAAGAATCTCTCTGTTTGCTGGTTATATTAGAGTGTTTCTTGCTTGCGTTAGGAATTATTGGATAACTGTTTATTTGATCCATAAAACATAACATGCACAGGCTGTAATGAACAGTATATTGGTCAATCAGAAAATTTAAGAGCCCGGGTTCGTGTCCACAAACAACAAATAAAGTGTCCTGAAACCCGATGTATCCCACTGAGTGAACATCTAGATGTCTGTGCGAAAGGAAACGATGTTAAATTTACAATATTTCCTTTTTATCAAGTTCAAAATTCGGACAAAGTAAAACGAATTTTAAAAGAACACTACTTCATAGACAAGTTCAAACCAATGTTAAACCATTGCAAGCTGTGACCTTGTCGCTCTTGAATGTTGTCCCTATTGTGACGTCACAATATATATGTAATGACGTCATACTGTAACCGCTAAAATCTCCCTGAAGAGTAAAGAACGAAACATGTTGGAGAAAAAGTCATTCTGTTTTTATTTATCTATTATATATATATATATCTATTATATATATATATATATACACATATACTTACCAGACTTAGGTATGGTACTTGGAGGTGTAACCATGGTTACTCCAACTGAGGGTGTTAGTTTCTGTGTGATGCTGGAAATGCTTTTCCCCTTTGCTTTGTCCTGCTTCTGTTTCTCCTTTTCTTTTTTCTTCATTTTCTTTTTCTTCTTTTTGGCTTTCTTCTTTTTTCTCCTTTCTCTTGATGAGGATGAATCGGAAGAACTGTGTCTGACATAATGGATAAGAAACCATTGTTATTACATGGTAGTGCGTTTGAAATGAATTTGCCTATGTTGTAATGATTTGATATGATGCTGAACCAAAGTGCACTGACAAATATTACAGCTACATTATATGTATCTACACTAATCATGTTTAACTGAAGTCCTAAAGATAGAAAACTATATTCAATATCCACCCAATACGGTTTGGTCTTTGTCTAACGCCGCACTCAGCAATATTCAAGATATACAATGGTCTTACAACATGCATAACCATGGTCACAGATGAAGATAAAAATGTGGATTGAAAATGAAATGCATCATTGTCTGGATTATCAAGAAGGCTGCTGAATGAATGAGTAACATCCGGTAATTATGCACACCTTGGATCATTAGAAATATTTATTAGTTACGTCCTAAAAATAGTTTCATCTCAAGTAATTTTGAGTTATTAATAAAAAAATGTTTTCACAAATCACAAAAAAAAAAAAAATACAGACAGCTAAAATGGATCATGTTGTATATATATAGTGGTTAAAATTAATGTAAACACAGGTCAAAACTAAGAATATCCCTCAACAATGCTACAGTAAGAAGTGCACACCGTAACACTAATTACTACTGAACAACGTTGTGTTACTGACAATCTGTTACACAGACAAATATATGCAACAAACCCTTGTACCAGAAATATACCACACGATATTAAATTTGTTTATAAACGTAACCCGTACGAAGTACTCAAACAATAAATATAGTATAATATAAGCAAACGTAAGTTTGCGACTTGTGCCAGAAGAGACGTCCCGAAGTTGCCTCAACAGCTTCCGTGGAAATACAGAATAGGACGCTGTTGAGCCAGCTTCACATTAATCACAAACCGTATAACTATAAGTGTATTCAGTGTATTTTACCTGCGTTTTGAGCTACTCTTTTTTCGTGCTTTCATTTTGGAATTGTCTTTGTGCCTTGAAGACTTTTTGTGTTTATGTTTGTGCCTTCGTTCACTTGATGAAGATGATCTTGATGACTGAATGGAATCAGATGAACTCGAACTTGCATTTCGAGACTGCCACGATCGCTTCCGTTTCTTTGATGTAGGCCGTGATCGACGTTCCCCTTTTGCAGATGGAGACCTGGAATGTTTTCGCGTTCTCCTATTCTCCATTGTAAACCAATATCCCTGCAAGATTCGTAGCACCACAACAGATATTAGGCAGCGATTATGTGCCACGCATGGAGGCTGCCATTTTGTTTCACCAAAGGTTAAACTATTTTATACTACGGAAAATGAATATCACATTTTTCTTTATATCCATATCCTTTATAACAAGTAAACCTTTTTCGCTTTGAGGTATTTGTGATCTTTGTGTTTGCTCTATATTAACAAACGGTCTACCAATTGGACGCTGTTTAATTATAGTTGATATGTACTGAACAAAATTAGAAAACAGTATTAAGTGCATGTTTTTGAATTACCCTAACAGCGGAAGTCATCACACTTGGCGTCAAAATGGCTGCCTAGTTGTCACAACAGTAGCAGGGAATATGTGAAGTCGACAATTTAATAATTACGAAATGGCAGTAACTGATTCTTGTCCAGCTTTTTCAGCGTTTGAAAAACAGTTGAAGACATTGTGTTTGAAAGAATTTCCCTGTGGATTAGGCTCATGGGTAAGAAAGATTATATTGAATCAATGACAGGGAACATCCGATGGATGAATGAAAACCGATGCTTCTGTTGGTCCCCGGGCTGCATCATACAAATAAATGTTTGAAAAATCCTTATTTAGGTGCTGGAACAATAACTGATCTTCTGGGAATCACTATACTGTGTCCGAATGGGTGACCTTTTTGCAGCAATGGGGTTTCACTAGTGGACAAGCACTATAAAACCAGCAATTGGTATTCTTGCGTCCAAGCTAAAAATGTGATTGAAATTTTGAAATCGGAAATCTAATAACAAAATGTGAATGTTTAGGAAATTGTAATGTTCAAAATATTTTAATGTTACTTTTCATCATGATACAGTCGAAGGATGAATGACATATTAATTGATGCTATTTCTGAACATTCTAAGGTGTACTAAATTTGTTTACAGAGAAGGTCTCAACATAAGACCAACTCATTGCCGAGGAAGAAAACATTGTCCAAAAGAGGCTTTAATCCAGCATATGTTTCCTCTGATAAAGTTGATTCACAGTTTGCCACAACATTGAAAGGTAAGATGCTCATCTCTTATCACAACTGTGTGAGATATACTACCGACAAAAGATAGGGAACTGATGAAATGACAGTGAATGTGTAATTGCTCTAAATGTCCACAAAATCAATTTCGGGCGTGAAGTTCAGTATCTAGTGTGTCCATCATGTTGGGTGACACATACATGACACCTTGATTAACCTCCGGATGGTTGCCCATGGTATTGCCCGCCATGCCGCCTGAAGAGCTACCCCAAGCTGGGCCAAGTTGACGGGTGCGGGATCCCTGTCGTACACCCTCCGTCCGAGAACGTCCCACAGATGCTCAATTGGGCACATGTCTGGGGCTTAGAGGACCAGTCCAATGTCTGTATGCCCTCTCGTCAGAGGTAAGCGATGACGAAACCGCTGGCAAACGTCTGGCATTATCATCTTGGAATTCAAAAGTACTGCCGATAATTCTAGCCAGTGGAGCCACGACAGGATGCAAAATTTCGTCAACATATGTCAGTTGTCCATTAATGATGACCAGATCCGATCGCCTGTCATGTGTAATACCGTCCCACACCATGCACCACCACCCCCATACCGATCATGGTCAATAATTGCCGCTCTGGCATGCCGCTCACTGCTACGGCGCCAACAACGTTTTCTGCCATCTGTGAATTGGAGGCAAAACATTGACTCATCTGAGAACATGGTGTAATGCCAGTGGCGCAAAGCCTGTCCCTGATATTGCATAGCACACCAATCTTTGGTGCCTATGGTGAGCTGTGAGGGTGACATCCTTTACGGGCCGCCTTGCTTTCAGACGGGCTTGATAGAGTCCCTATTGATAGCATGTACTGATTTGAACCTATTGCATAGGGCCATTAATGCAGTAAGACGGTCCTGTCTAGGTGTCGCTGATTTTGGTCTACCACGCCCAGGTCAACACAGCGCGAAAAAGGAAAAGTGCCAAAAAATGATATTTTATAACTTTTTTTCATTTATGGGTGAACTTAGTATATCAGATTTTCATGGGTCTGCCACTTTTGGGAGTTCCAAGGTGTTGCAAAGGTTTCCAGTTCTGTCACAAGATGGCCTGAAATGAGAGTCAGATCAGTCAGAGTCAGAAGTATCAGATTTTAATGTCTTCAAACCACATTGCATCATGAATATTGTTATTTAATCCGGCTCATTCACTCATATTGTTTTGAAATTATTTGACAGATTATGGCACCAATTATGAGAAGATGGAGACTCTACAGGAATATGTTGGATCCAGGTTCTCCCCATGGCACCTGGACTACAGCTGGTCACAGGAAGCACGTGAACTTCGTGAAATTGCTGTGAAATCTCCCTGGCTGATAGATGATAACTTCGTCCTCAACTACTTCAAGACACTTCGAATTGTGGACAAAAATGTAAGTGATGAAAGCAAATTCACTTTTGATGTATGAGCCGGATTTCAATTGTTCTTACCAGCAATACAAATATATATGTACTGAATGACTTTGTGTGCTGGCCTCACCCAAAGAGTTTGGGTTCAAATGCTGGATGGAGGGTTAACCCCCGAAAAAGTACTGAAGTACCATATATTACCGTCTATAAACCGACCCCATAGATAAGCCGACCCCCAAACTTGACCCTTAAAATCAGTGTCAAAATGGTATGTTCCGTACATAAGCCAATCCCCCGCGATGGGATCCTAATCCTGGCAAACACAGACCACAGTCAACTGGCAGTTACCAATAATTATAACTTTGGTCCACATTATTCAAAGAATTCACAATCATATTGTGTCTACTCACGCATCGAAATGAAGTGTAGTTGACAGAAAATGGATAATATATTTTGTTTCGCTAAATATCATACTTATTGTAGCTGGACGATCACATGTCAACAAACTGGCTTGCTTATTTTACCCCATTCAACAATCCATGGACTTTTCCATGGACTTCTAGTTTACAGTAACATCGGTAAAAATGTGTGAATTTAAATGGCTGCTTATTTTACCCTATTCCATGTGCGTACAACTTCCGCTTATCACGTTCATGAGGGTCCGTATAAGTTTAGTGTTGATTATATATATTTTACATTTATAGAGCAAAAACTGTAATCAATAGTACACAATGCTAGGATATATTTCTTTCGGTTAAATAATAGTACTCTGTATTATATTTTAATGATGACTGTGTCAGAATTCATCCCCTTATATTATTGACAAATATTGTGCATGTTTGAACTTGATTGCCAGGAAACGTGTGCACAGCTGATTGCTATTTCCAGCTCAAATACACACGGTAATCTTAATCTTAATTAATTTATAGAGCAAAAACTGTAATTAAAATTACACAATGCTAGGATACATTTCTTTGGGTTAAATAATAGTATTCTGTATTATATTTTACTGATGACTTCGTCAAAATTCATCCCATTATATTATTGTGCATGTTTGAACTTGATCGCCGGGAAATGTGTGCACAGCTGATTGCTATTTCCGGCTCAAAAACACATGGTAATCTTAATCCCTGCAAATAATACAATGCCCAGCAAAACAACTTAGAACTTAAAAGGTAAATAATCTTGTCTAGTGATGTTTAATTTCAAATTTGATGTCTTTACTGACAAAGCTGTCTTCTGTTATTTGTTCACGTGAAGTGATACGATGTTGTTTTCTTACCCCTGGAAAAAAGTTGGACGAAAACGTTACCCATAGATAAGCCGACCCCCTTCTACAGACTGCTTTTTTTTATCATCAAAATTCGGCTTATAGACGGTAATATACGGTATGTACTTTGCTGACAGAGTGTGTTTTACCACTCTTATAGCAATGTTCCAGCAATATCATGGCGGGAGACACCAAAAATGGGCTTCACAAATTGTACCGTATATGACCGACTATAAGTCTGATCTGACTATAAGTCGGGACCCTTTCTCAACCCTCTAAATTCTTGCCAAAACCATGTAACTCAAGTATAAGTCGGCCCCTTTCCCCGTACGTTTCGGTATTTGGTATATCAATGTCGTGACTGTTCAACACTGTAACATGACGAACGTAAACACGTGTTTGTACCTATGTGGGGAATAGAACCTGGGTCTTCGGCATGACAAGCAAACACTTTAACCTCTAGGCTACCCCACTGCCCCAGCTTTTCTGAGAGAGCGCAGTCCCAATTATCTTGACTCACACATAAATATCGTTTTCTGATTGGCTGAGCGCTCTTCTATTATTTTCAATGTACCCCACTTACAAGCAAGTAACATTTTCTATGTACCCCGCTGGGAATGCCGAACTCATTTGGTACTTCGTAGTAGTAATTCTTTTTATCTTGCCTCACGCATAAACATTGTTTTCTGATTGGCTGAGCGCTCTTCTATTATTATCCCCCGCAATGCGTTTTGCGGGGGTATTAAAATGGACTCCGTCCGTCGTGCGTCCGTCCGTCTGTGCACATTTGTCTTTTCCGGAGCAGAACTCTAAAACCTTTCAATATTTCTTCACCAAACTTGGCACATAGATAGATCTGGTGGTGTACTGGTGCCTTTTGGTAGTTTTGGAATTCTGAATAAAATATTTTTGGCTTTTCCATGGCAACAAGTTCGACTTAGCCTGAAATTGGTGGTAGTGCTCTTTTCCTGAGCAGAACTCTAAAACCGTTCACTATTTCTTCACCAAACTTGGCACATAGATAGATCTGGTGGTGTACTGGTGCCTTTTGGTAGTTTTGGAATTCTGAATAAAATATTTTTGGCTTTTCCGTGGCAACAAGTTTGACTTAGCCTGAAATTGGTGGTAGTGCTCTTTTCCGGAGCAGAACTCTAAAACCGTTCACTATTTCTTCACCAAACTTGACACATAGATTGGTCTGGTGGTGTACTGGTTTCATTTTGGTAGTTTTGGAATTCTGAATAAAATATTGTTGGCATATCCATGGCAACAAGTTTGACTAAAACAGAAATTAGTGGTAGTGCACTTTTCCGGAGCAGAACTCTAAAACTGTTCAATGTTTCTTCACCAAACTTGGATCTGGTGGTGTACTGGTGCCTTTTGGTAGTTTTGGATTTCTGAATACAATATTTTTGGCATTTCCATGGCAACAAGTTTGACATAGACTGAAATTGGTGATAGTGCTCCTTTCTGGAGCAGAACTTTAAAAACCTTTCAATACTCTCCTTCCACTTTTCTATATACACACCTAAATATTTGACATAATCATAACTCGTAGACATAATCATGAAGAGTATTTTGCCATTGCGGGGGATATTGATGACTTTGTCTTCTTGTTTTCAATGTATCCTGCTTACAAGCGAGTAACATTTTCTATGTACCTCACTAGGCATGCCGAACTCATTTGGTAGTTCGTAGTAGTAATTCTTTATCTCGAATCAGTTGAATCATGTATGATGTTACGGAAATTACCAATATTTTGCGAATACAATTCGATGGAAGGGAGATAACTCAAAATTTGTTTTACTTGTCGTCTTGTCCTCCATACTATGATCCGATACCCGTGCTTCAAACAGTTCAAAATTACCATTAAGGTGTTCGGTAAGATAAATACGTTGTTGACTGGTCCCTCGGGGCCCATGGGTTGATGTACCCTCGATGTTTGTTTATGTTCCACTCGCCCTTCGGGCTCAGGGAACATAAACAAACATCAATGGTACATCAACCCATGTCCCGCTCGAGACCAGTGAACAACTTATAATGTAACATTTGTTACCTAGTTTTGTATTCCTAGTTTTCGGTCATGGGAGGCGTGCCAGTTTACATTTGTCAGAGGGTTGTAACAGAGTATGTTGTCGAGACAACCACTTTTCACACTTCCAGTTTTGTGGAAGAATTTTTGGTTGAAGTGGTTAGATCATTGACTTTGTGTGCTGGTGAATCTAGGCCTACCCTCACTTGCATCTTCAGTGTGATGAGCTACCTCACCCACCACTCTCATGGTAAAGAGCCCAGGGACACATTTAACATGAGACTAACAAACTGACACAGACTAACAGGCTAATGCCATACTGTGTCCCTGGTATGTCAAACATTTCTCTGAAAAAGACATGGTAGTATTGTAGCATAACCAACTCTAAAGAACTGTTAATCAATCGTTTGGTATCTGATACTGATTTTCCTTGTCAGAGTTGAGATTTACAAAATGTATTTGCCCAGAACAGAAATTCCATAGTTCTTGGTAGCTTGTAGTTTATTCTTTGTATTGAAATGATTTTAATACCTCAAAATGTTTGTAATAACATCATTTAGAATTTGCCAAATTTTCTTCTTCAGGTCACAGAGGTTGATGAAGATTTATTAATGTTCAAGAATCTGGAAGAGTTAACTTTAAGTGCAAATCATATCAAGAACATCAGTTCCAAGAACCTCCCAGAGTCGCTGAAGGTATGTAGGCGCTGTTTTTATAAAATCTAAACTATGTTTTTAGCCATTTAATTCTGCATGTACAAATATGTATGAATTACATTCCAAATATTGCATTTCTGAAAAGTGAACAAATTTTATTATCAACCATGTGAAATAAGTTGGAAATTTACAAAAGATAGACATAATATTGAAATGGAATAATTTGTGGCACTTCACTGAATATTGCTGATTTTTGGATGGTAGCTGTTTTCAACACTGTTTCTGATTAGTAGTAGTTGTATAACTCAACATAGTAACTACATGGTGTATAATGTAAGGATGTTTGTCACCAGGTGTTGGAGCTGTGTGCCAATGAAATCAGTGACATATCTGCACTGTGCATCGACCCTCCTCTCCTGAATCACCTGGGACTGGGACACAACAACATAGCCTTTACAGGGGACTACATCACTGGAGATTACTGGTATGTTTATACATCACGAGAGATTACTGGTATGTTTATACATCACGGAGATTACTGGTATGTTTATACATCACTGGAGATTACTGGTATGTTTATACATCACTGGAGATTACTGGTATGTTTATACATCACTGGAGATTACTGGTATGTTTATACATCACGGGAGATTACTGGTATGTTTATACATCACTGGAGATTACTGGTATGTTTATACATCACTGGAGATTACTGGTATGTTTATACATCACGGAGATTACTGGTATGTTTATACATCACGAGATATTACTGGCATGTTTATACATCATGGAGATTACTGGTATGTTTATACATCACGGAGATTACTGGTATGTTTATACATCACTGGAGATTACTGGTATGTTTATACATCACTGGAGATTACTGGTATGTTTATACATCACTGGGGATTACTGGTATGTTTATACATCATGGGAGATTACTGGTATGTTTATACATCACGGAGATTACTGGTATGTTTATACATCACTGGAGATTACTGGTATGTTTATACATCATGGGAGAATACTGGTATGTTTATACATCACGGGAGATTACTGGTATGTTTATACATCACTGGAGATTACTGGTATGTTTATACATCACTAGAGATTACTGGTATGTTTATACATCACGGAGATTACTAGTATGTTTATACATCACGGAGATTACTGGTATGCTTATACATCACGGAGATTACTGGTATGTTTATACATCACGGAGATTACTGGTATGTTTATACATCACTGGAGATTACTGGTATGTTTATACATCACTAGAGATTACTGGTATGTTTATACATCACTGGAGATTACTGGTATGTTTATACATCACTGGAGATTACTGGTATGTTTATACATCACGGGAGAATTACTGGTATGTTTATACATCACTGGAGATTACTGGTATGTTTATACATCACTGGAGATTACTGGTATGTTTATACATCACGGGAGATTACTGGTATGTTTATACATCACTGGAGATTACTGGTATGTTTATACATCACGGAGATTACTGGTATGTTTATACATCACTGGAGATTACTGGTATGTTTATACATCACTGGAGATTACTGGTATGTTTATACATCACTGGAGATTACTGGTATGTTTATACATCACTGGAGATTACTGGTATGTTTATACATCACTGGAGATTACTGGTATGTTTATACATCACTAGAGATTACTGGTATGTTTATACATCACTGGAGATTACTGGTATGTTTATACATCACTAGAGATTACTGGTATGTTTATACATCACTGGAGATTACTGGTATGTTTATACATCACTAGAGATTACTGGTATGTTTATACATCACTGGAGATTACTGGTATGTTTATACATCACTGGAGATTACTGGTATGTTTATACATCACTGGAGATTACTGGTATGTTTATACATCACTGGAGATTACTGGTATGTTTATACATCACTGGAGATTACTGGTATGTTTATAGATGGAGATTACTGGTATGTTTATACATCACTGGAGATTACTGGTATGTTTATACATCACTGGCGATTACTGGTATGTTTATACATCACGGGGAGATTACTGGTATGTTTATACATCACGGGAGATTACTGGTATGTTTATACATCACTGGAGATTACTGGTATGTTTATACATCACTGGAGATTACTGGTATGTTTATACATCACTGGAGATTACTGGTATGTTTATACATCACTGGAGATTACTGGTATGTTTATACATCACGGGAGATTACTGGTATGTTTATACATCACTGGGAGATTACTGGTATGTTTATACATCACGGAGATTACTGGTATGTTTATACATCACTGGGAGATTACTGGTATGTTTATACATCACTGGAGATTACTGGTATGTTTATACATCACTGGAGATTACTGGTATGTTTATACATCACTGGAGATTACTGGTATGTTTATACATCACGGGAGATTACTGGTATGTTTATACATCACTAGAGATTACTGGTATGTTTATACATCACTGGAGATTACTGGTATGTTTATACATCACTGGAGATTACTGGTATGTTTATACATCACGGAGATTACTGGTATGTTTATACATCACTGGAGATTACTGGTATGTTTATACATCACGGGAGATTACTGGTATGTTTATACATCACTGGGAGATTACTGGTATGTTTATACATCACTGGAGATTACTGGTATGTTTATACATCACTGGAGATTACTGGTATGTTTATACATCACTGGAGATTACTGGTATGTTTATACATCACTGGAGATTACTGGTATGTTTATACATCACGGGAGATTACTGGTATGTTTATACATCATGGGAGATTACTGGTATGTTTATACATCACGGGAGATTACTGGTATGTTTATACATCACTAGAGATTACTGGTATGTTTATACATCACTGGAGATTACTGGTATGTTTATACATCACGGGAGATTACTGGTATGTTTATACATCACTAGAGATTACTGGTATGTTTATACATCACTGGAGATTACTGGTATGTTTATACATCACGGGAGATTACTGGTATGTTTATACATCACTGGAGATTACTGGTATGTTTATACATCACGGAGATTACTGGTATGTTTATACATCACTGGAGATTACTGGTATGTTTATACATCACGGAGATTACTGGTATGTTTATACATCACTGGAGATTACTGGTATGTTTATACATCACTAGAGATTACTGGTATGTTTATACATCACTGGAGATTACTGGTATGTTTATACATCACGGGAGATTACTGGTATGTTTATACATCACGGGAGATTACTGGTATGTTTATACATCACTGGAGATTACTGGTATGTTTATACATCACTGGAGATTACTGGTATGTTTATACATCACTGGAGATTACTGGTATGTTTATACATCACGGGAGATTACTGGTATGTTTATACATCACTAGAGATTACTGGTATGTTTATACATCACTAGAGATTACTGGTATGTTTATACATCACGGGAGTTTACTGGTATGTTTATACATCACGGGAGATTACTGGTATGTTTATACATCACTGGAGATTACTGGTATGTTTATACATCACTGGAGATTACTGGTATGTTTATACATCACTGGAGATTACTGGTATGTTTATACATCACTGGAGATTACTGGTATGTTTATACATCACTGGAGATTACTGGTATGTTTATACATCACTGGAGATTACTGGTATGTTTATACATCACTGGAGATTACTGGTATGTTTATACATCACTAGAGATTACTGGTATGTTTATACATCACGGGAGATTACTGGTATGTTTTATACATCACGGGGAGATTACTGGTATGTTTATACATCACTGGAGATTACTGGTATGTTTATACATCACGGAGATTACTGGTATGTTTATACATCACTGGAGATTACTGGTATGTTTATACATCACTGGAGATTACTGGTATGTTTATACATCACTGGAGATTACTGGTATGTTTATACATCACAGAGATTACTGGTATGTTTATACATCACTGGAGATTACTGGTATGTTTATACATCACTAGAGATTACTGGTATGTTTATACATCACTGGAGATTACTGGTATGTTTATACATCACGGGAGATTACTGGTATGTTTATACATCACTGGAGATTACTGGTATGTTTATACATCACTGGAGATTACTGGTATGTTTATACATCACGGGAGATTACTGGTATGTTTATACATCACTAGAGATTACTGGTATGTTTATACATCACTAGAGATTACTGGTATGTTTATACATCACTGGAGATTACTGGTATGTTTATACATCACGGGAGATTACTGGTATGTTTATACATCACTGGAGATTACTGGTATGTTTATACATCACTGGAGATTACTGGTATGTTTATACATCACGGGAGATTACTGGTATGTTTATACATCACTAGAGATTACTGGTATGTTTATACATCACTGGAGATTACTGGTATGTTTATACATCACTGGAGATTACTGGTATGTTTATACATCACTAGAGATTACTGGTATGTTTATACATCACTAGAGATTACTGGTATGTTTATACATCACTGGAGATTACTGGTATGTTTATACATCACTAGAGATTACTGGTATGTTTATACATCACTGGAGATTACTGGTATGTTTATACATCACTAGAGATTACTGGTATGTTTATACATCACGGGAGATTACTGGTATGTTTATACATCACTAGAGATTACTGGTATGTTTATACATCACTGGAGATTACTGGTATGTTTATACATCACTGGAGATTACTGGTATGTTTATACATCACTGAGATTACTGGTATGTTTATACATCACGGAGATTACTGGTATGTTTATACATCACGGAGATTACTGGTATGTTTATACATCACATCACGGAGATTACTGGTATGTTTATACATCACGGAGATTACTGGTATGTTTATACATCACTGGAGATTACTGGTATGTTTATACATCACTGGAGATTACTGGTATGTTTATACATCACGGAGATTACTGGTATGTTTATACATCACTAGAGATTACTGGTATGTTTATACATCACGGAGATTACTGGTATGTTTATACATCACGGAGATTACTGGTATGTTTATACATCACTGAGATTACTGGTATGTTTATACATCACTGGAGATTACTGGTATGTTTATACATCACGGGAGATTACTGGTATGTTTATACATCACTGGAGATTACTGGTATGTTTATACATCACGGGAGATTACTGGTATGTTTATACATCACTAGAGATTACTGGTATGTTTATACATCACTAGAGATTACTGGTATGTTTATACATCACTGGAGATTACTGGTATGTTTATACATCACTGGAGATTACTGGTATGTTTATACATCACTGAGATTACTGGTATGTTTATACATCACTGGAGATTACTGGTATGTTTATACATCACACGGGAGATTACTGGTATGTTTATACATCACTAGAGATTACTGGTATGTTTATACATCACTGGAGATTACT